AAACGCAAGATGATGATAAAAAACGCAGGTAAGGAAATAACTTGTTTTAACACAAGTATGTCAGCTGGTTTATAAATAATAATAATATAAAAATATAAATAAATAAACCATGTGATTTATTGAATACAACAATTAATTAATACAGCCATATATAACCAACACAAGTAGACTTCTCATCCCATTGTAAATTTTGAAGCTTGTTTTTCATGTGTAGTTCATGTCCGGTGACACTGATCGCTTGTGTAGAAGAAATTTTGTTTCTATTGTTTTATCAATGGCACTGCATACAGTCACTCATATAGTACAATATAATTTGTACAAATGTATAATTTGTATAATTTGACGTGTTGTAATCTTCAATCACCATTCAAGAATAACATTTTCAGTGAGTCACATGAAACCTTGAAACGGGGAAACTAATTTAAAATTGAATGAATCTCCTGACTTGTGGTATTATAGACTGTGTGATTTTTGTTGGAATTGAGGTTTTTATTAAATTGAATACATTAATGGCTTAATAGTAAATAGTGATCAACTAGGGCTCAAATGTCTTTTTTAAGCTCAAGCTTAACTGAAAGATCGAGGGTCAAAAAGACACTTTGGCCAGTATTTTGGCCATTCTTCATACTAATTCATAAACATAAAATCAATTTCAGACTTGGTTTACATTTCTGAATTATTTTTAAAATCTATTTCTATCAAGTTTTGCTTTTAAAATACAATGTGATAAGATGAAAATTATACTACCTGACTACTTGTAATATTCAAGTGAAAGCTCTGTGTGAACTTCATCCACTTGTACATGACATCAATTTAAACTAATTGGCCTCACAGAGTAAAAAGACAATAAGTCTTAAGTAGAAGAAATGGGCTGTCTAAAATAATGTGGACAGTGTTTTCTACTTCAAAACACTTCGGGGGAGTATGATCAAACTACAGTAAGATCGAACAGTGTATGAATTCCTGGAAAAACCTTTAGAAATGAAGATGGTTTTTGCGCTCATTCACATATGAATGAGGTTATACTTTTTGTAATTTTATTAGTTTGTTGTTAATATATTTATTCAATTTGTCTTGTTATTGATCATAGGTGGATAAAAAACTTTAACAAAAAACATTTTGTTCTCAAATTACTAAATTGAACTTAACATTTTTGAGAAATCATAAAAGAGCTCATAGAATATTATCATCAATTATTTCTATATTCATCAAGAAAATCTATCCAAAAGGCATTTTTATATACTGTAGTAGCTATGCAGCTATAGGTGTGTTGATGTTCCTTTACATTCATTTTAAATTTTATACTGCAATTTAAAATACATTATAAAAAAGCCACACTAAGTGACTTCTAAAATCTTCATTTCACAAAAGTGTTTTATTAGAAGTAGGTAGGTCTACTGAATCTGTTGGTACACCAAAGAAGAAATGGTAAGTCTACGACGAGGAAAAAAGCAAGGAACTCGACACCACCATGACTAATGCATCATACGGCACGAAACAGAGTACTTTTTAGCAGGAAGGTGACAGCCACGATGTTCAGTTGGGACCATTAGTCTGTGCGCGGCTCAGACCCCCCACCTGCTATCCAACCCCCTCTCCTCCCGCGGCATAGCCAGCCACGTGCACAAACCAATGGACCCATCAGTAGGAAGGGACAAACGTGGCTGTGACTTGTACAGGACGGTGATTGTCACCTAATATAGAAGCAGGTGGTCTTAAGCTCAAGCTTGTCTCCCTGACACCAATTTTTTAAAGGCATTTTCCAATTCTTGGGCTTGCGGAGGGTCCTTTTTCCTCTAGCTTATTGCTACCTTTTTCTTTGTGTTTGGACTACACTAGGCAAGAGGGAATAAAAGACACAGGCAGCAACTTTCTGATATGCGATGCGGGCCCAGTCGGGAAACAGTTGCGTGTGGATACCCAGAAAGAATTTGTTTCCGTCCAATTCCTTCCCTGTCCAGTGTAGCCGAACCTTAAAATCAACTTTGTTAGAAAACTTAATTAATTTGTTAACCCAATGCCAACTGCATCTGGGTTCAGAAACTATCTCCCTTCAAATCAAACCAGCAACCATCTATTTTGAAGGCGAGCTCTTTAGACTTTCTATTAAAGACTCACAAAATCCTCAGATTAAGCTCTCATATTTATGTCCCTTGTTGCAGATTTCAGCAGTATCCGTAAGTTCCGTGCTGGTTTGTTTCCTTGTCAACAATGCCAGAGAGTATACAAGTACTCTGACAGTCTAGCAAGACACTTAAGGCTAGAATGTAACATACAACCTCAGTTCCAATGTCCTCTATGTGAATACAAAGCTAGACAAAAGATTCATCTTTCTCATCACATGATATCCAAACATCAAGCTTGTTTGAAAGATTTTGAGACTTAAGATTGTATTTATATAAAATTATTTATACTTTTGTTTAATGTTTAATTTTTCCTTTCATTTTATTTTACCGGTTAAGATCTTGAATAATAAACTGGTAAATGTTTGCTAATTAATAAAAATAAAACATTTCTATGTGTTCTTGATATCATGTAGTAGTTCATGTTTCAATTGTAAGTTGTACCTGTTAACTTTGCTAATTCTATAACGTGTGACAGTTATTTATTAGATCTAGATCATTAGAGATCTGTTGACACAATTTGAGTTGTTTAGGGGGTTTCAGAAGATTTCTATTCTTACATTAAAAACTTTCTTGACTCTGCAGTGTTACCAGTTGGCTGAAGAGAACTCATCAAATCTACAATTGCAAAATATTTCCTAAACTATGTATTTGACAAAGAGAAAAATCTTTGAGATGCTTTAAAGAATGAATGAAGGTATTGATAACCAAGCAGTCAAATCAAACTACCAAACAGCTCAGAAATTTAGCCATTGAATCGAGTAATCAACAGAGTTTACTGATGCTAAATTACCGATTTCTGTTGAACACACCAAATTTTTAACCAAACTAATAGGATGGCTGATTGTAAGCAATAGCATATTTTGTGTCACTTTAGATAAAGTAGAGTTTTAAAATGCAGCCTACTCTAGTACTCTATGAGAATCTCGTTCAACTCTTTTGGGAAAAAATTACTTTAGCAGGTCCATATAAATGGGATATCTGCTTTACTATAGAATTCAAAACAAAGAAACAGTTTGAACAAGTCATACAACAGTATATCTTTACCAATAAGCCGCGTTTACAAAGCCAGTTGACAGGCTATCTGCTTCAGGTAACTTGAAGTACACAATAGAGTAGATAACCAACCCCTAGCCTGCCTGTTTTACTGGCCTCATCATGTGAACATGGCAGTGTTAATAATCAATTTTATAGAATGACTAGGCAGAGTACATAATAGTAGTGTGCCAATAAACACTCTATAGAAAGACTTAATTTAATACTTTGATTCATTTATTTGTTGGTCACCTAAACACCTATAGAACAGTGATTCTCATCCTGTGGTACGCTGATACTGCTGATTTGTTACATGATTACATTACTTAAAATCTTTATATCTCAGGATGCCACCATTAGTTCATGGCTTATCATAACAGTTAATAGTCAACAGGATTGTAAGAAGTAGGACAATTCTGTGACAGATTAAATAATTAATGGTATTCCAGTAATAGGATTTAAATGTAAAGTTATATGCTCAGTGATCAGTTTTTCAATCTGGTCACCAATTGTGAAAATATCCCCTTTTTAGGAAAACACTGTCCCTATGTGGAAATAATTGGGCCCGCTTGGAATAAATCTTGATCCAGAAGTTTACAAGTTGGCTTCTACTCTTCATGCTTAGCATTCCCATTAAATTTTTATTACTTTTAAGTTTTATTTTTTTCAACTTATGCTATGGATTTCCTATTCATGTCAATAAATAAAATACTATAAAACAGACATTTATTTAATATTCTACTCATAGTTGGAAAATAGGTTAGTAAGATTGGGGAACTAATGAACAATAAACATATTCCATCCACAATCATCTTCAGGACTAAGTAGTAAGCAAATATTTTTGTCTTCCAAACTGTACGCCTAGGAAAAAGATTGGGTAAACACTGCTATAGAATACCTGGTTTTATACACTTAGCTGGTACCTAATATAATTTGTTCAACACACAAGTAACTTCCCAACGTGTTGTCCAGATGCTCCGAGGATATACACGTGCCCCAACTGTCCAAGGAAGTACAAACGCCATGACAGTCTTGGACGTCACCTGCGGCTAGAGTGCGGCCGAGAACCACAGTTTGGCTGCGACTTGTGCACCTTCCGAACCAAACATAATCACAACCTTAAGTGCCACATGGTGATGAAACATCCGCCCTAACATTCAGACACAGTTTGAATTTTTTTGTATTCACACAGTAAAATTTTTATTTACAACTTTTTTGATTTTCAATAACCGTTTTTCTTTGTCCCTAGTACTTGATTCCTAGAGTTTAATCAGATTTATACAACGTTAAGGTGGAAGAATGACTGTATGAATAATAAATTAGAGAAATCATGTTTAGCCAGGACTAATAAAAGACCAACAATTAAGGATGGATAGCTGGGTCCAGTCTCAAAACATAAAAAGCTATAAAATGTTCTCTGAATCAAATCCACAATATTGTGATTACTAAGATCCTCTTAGTACTTAGTTTTACTAAATCCACTTAGCTACTTGAATTTAAAACTATCAGGAACTTTTATTTTTATTCCAACCACCATCATACCTTTCATTTCTCATAGAAAATAATGCTATAGTACAACCATGTTAAGAAAAACAATAAAACTGTGCACCATCAGTATAATTTTAGAATTTTGTTAGGAATACAACAACATGTATTCTGTAGTGGTATTCAGAGTATTGTAGACCACTATTTCCTGTTACTCAAATCAAGCTCTGGTTGTTCCTATCCTATATACCACTCAGAACACAACTGTTTAAGTGTAGTTTGATATAATCATCTCATTCATTTTATGCTTTTTTCACTTCAAACGACTTTCTACATTTCATACTACTAACTAGTAGTATGAAACTTCAGTCCTGCAGGAGGTAAGTTGTAGCGAGGAAGTCACAGTGTCTTTAGAAAAACATTCTTGAAGTATACAGCTAGTTGTTGCTGGAAGCAGTTAAAAAATCAATTTAAAAAATGAACTACTCCATCTTTAAAGCAGTCCTTTGATTCCAATAGATTCTATATGTCTATTAATAACACTGGATTATACTGTATTTTGCATCAGAGGTTATTAGTTTCTTTTAAGTTCATTCATGATGTTGAGTTTATAGAGTTTAAGGGATTGTTTTGAACGTGTTTAATTTTTTATTTCATATTACAAAGTTTTAGCTCAAATACTGTAAGTTATAAGAATTTGATGAATATACAATACTGACAGTTAACTATGCACTTATCGGGTTTGTATTCTGTCACGCTATTAACTGAAACACCAACTCACTCTTTCCTGTCTGCGAGGCGGTCGTACCTAAGACATAGTATTTAGTGTTATACTTAGTTCTCAACATTTAGGCTGTTTGGGGGAGCAAGTCTACCTCCTCCACTTGAATGGATTAACAGCTGGGGTTTGCCAAAACGTCAATCAGTTGCAACAAACAACAAATAAAAAAAGGTGGGCAAACTGCCTAAATTTTGTGAATGGACTATAGCGTTAGGGAAAATATTCATTATGTTGATTTTGAAGAACTATAATAATTGAGTTTAAAACCTAGTTACATATGCTGCTTATTTTCTAGAAACATCGTTCCGTCGTTCTCGAGCTGGAGCCTTTGTTTGTCCGACGTGTCTCCGCATCTACAAATACCAGGACAGTCTAGCAAGACACGTAAGATTTGAATGTGGGAAAGAGCCCAAGTTCAACTGTCCTCATTGTCCATTCAAGTCCAAGCGAAAAGATAATTTGGACACACATGTTGTTCTTAAACATGGAGTTAAAAATCTGTGATAAACTTTTAATGTAAATACATTTTGCTTTGTAGTAAATTGTGTATTTTTCTGTGTAATTTCTTTTTGCATAAACTTTGTTTTGGAATCATGAGTTCTTGCTTTGAAAAATTACCATAAACTTGAAATAAAATGTTAAATTACAGATTTACTTACTGGCACTCAATTGAGAGAATTTAACTATACAAAATAGTATAAATAAGTTATTTTAGTAGTAAAATCCTGAACAAAATATAGAGAATCAATTCATAAAATTACAATTCATAGTTATTTTATAAGGTCTAAATTAAACAAATAAAAATTAAATATTGGCAGCACTATTATATAAGTTTTTCTTTTTCAGTTTTTCATAACTGATCAAAAATTCATAATAAAAAAACGATTTTATAATAATTGAGGCAAGTGATCTTTGAATACAACACGTTCCTGAAGCTCAATATAGAAGAAGAATTTATTCATAATGATTCTTTTCTACCGTATTCTGATAATGGTAAAACGTTAACATGGAAATTTAATATGTAGAAATTTGGATGGTAGCTGGATGATGGAAAAAAAACATGGTAGATGAATCTTAGTCAGTAAGAAAGCCACACAAATCATCTCACTCCATTCTACACTCATCCTCCACTCATATTTGGGTTAAAATATGCACATAGGTCCCCATCTCAGTTATTTGCAAATAATTTAAATACTCGTAGTGCTCATTTGACATTCAAATGGTCACTGTTTAATCCTGTCTCAGTCACTGGTTTTATTTTTTTTTTTTTAGACTGGGCCCAGCTGTTCTTGATCTTTGGGCTTTCCAATCACACGAATCATCTCCCTCTATTTTACACTCAACTTGCAATTATATTTTCAGCCTAAGACAGTTTGGCTGGGGGAGCGAGCTGATCTAGTGGTTAGAGCGCGGGACTCTGGTTCCTGGGTTCAAATCCCGCCAAATCACCAATGGATTTTTCTGAGTGATAATGCCGTAACCCCTAGGTGTAGCCTGAAGTAATGTAAAAAACAATTCCGGGCTCGTGCCTAGCATTCTAGGACAAAAAAATAAAAATAAAAATACAGTTTGGCTTGTTCAGAACAGCTGATTTTTGTAACTCAGCTGACTCCAACACACACATTTCTGCCTAAAGTCACACCTTTCAAACAAACTTTTGCATAACACGGTCAAACGATGTCATGTCAGCTTATTCATATCAAATTGACAAGCTGAATTGAACAGCAGGCTTTGAAATGCGCTCCTAGTTGGTGTTGAGGTGCCAAAAAATGACAGTGTCATTCATGGCTTTGTGTCTATAATCAAAGCGATTTCCCAAGTCGCTCTTAACAGGTTTATAGTAATATCTGGTGAATGGTAAAGTTGACTGTTGTTTCAGGTCAAGAAGTATTTGCCTGTCTCAAATGTCCCAAGATCTACAACCACCACAGGTCCCTTGTTCGCCATCTTCGTCTAGAATGTGGCCAAGAGGCACAATTTTCTTGTCCGCACTGCCCTTACCGAGCCAAACAACGTAACAACGTCAAGCTACACATGTACAAACTACATTTAGATAAACTTAATGTTTAGTAAAGTGAGAATTTTTTAATTCTTCAACAGATGTCGCAGTTTTATACCTGTTTCTTATACTTTTGATAGTGACTCAGTTGATAATAAACTATGGACCCATGGTCATGTCTTGAGTTGGCGTCTTGGTGCCATTATTAAACAATTATCAGTTGTTAAGTTCATTCATGTACTGTATTGTCTCAATCCTTATCTTACTTGATACACTTCATGCACAGGCCTTTAAGGCTCATTTGGAGGGGCTGATTTAGGAGAAAAAAGATGCTGCAAAAAAATAAATAAACAAAAAAGTTGTGAAAACTCTTTACTTTAAATTATGTTCTTATATCCTTCACATGTTGCACACCAGCTGTCTCACTTCTCAGTTTGAGGGATCTTGAGTCACCTGGTTGTGGATGTGAAAGATACGTTAACCTACTGGAGGAATTAAGTATTTTTTCCATTACAAAACAACTGTAAAATCAACATAAAAAAAGTTTTTGTGAATTTACCCCAAGTTTACCTCTTGATTTACTTCCACAACAGCAAAAAACATAATAATTTAGATGACTTATCTATCAAAAATTAGTTTCTTCTCTAATTTGTAAATCTGTTACAGCAATGCCGAGGTACAAGTGTCCTTCTTGTCCGAGGCAGTACTGCCATCAAAAAACGCTTAATCGACATCAGAAACTAGAGTGTGGACAAACAGGACAGTTCTCCTGCCCATACTGCAGCTATAGAGGGAAACAAAAGGTCCATTTGGAGAGTCACATCATTTGTCGCCACTCGGACCACCTGTCCAAGTCACCTTTGATGACACTTAATCTGTGAAAGAAGAAGTAGACACCAGAAACTGTAATGTAGCACTCAACTTAAAGCAACTACTGAGTCTAACGGATGGTCCATTTGGAGAGTCACATAATTTGTCGTCACTCGGACCACCTGTCCAAGTCACCTCTGATGACGCTTAATCTGTGAAAGAAGAAGTAGACACCAGAAACTGTAGTGTAGCACTCGACTGATTCTTCTACAGCAACTTCTGAGTCTAATGGATGATCCATTTGGAGAGTCACATCATTTGTCGTCACTCAGAACACCTGTTCAAGTCACCTCTGATGACACTTAATCTGTGAAAGAAGAAGTAGACACCATACACTGTAATGTAGCACTCAACTTAAAGCAACTACTGAGTCTAACGGATGATCCATTTGGAGAGTCACATCATTTGTCGTCACTCAGACCACCTGTTCAAGTCACCTCTGATGACACTTAATCTGTGAAAGAAGAAGTAGACACCATACACTGTAATGTAGCACTCAACTTAAAGCAACTACTGAGTCTAACGGATGATCCATTTGGAGAGTCACATCATTTGTCGTCACTCAGACCACCTGTTCAAGTCACCTCTGATGACACTTAATCTGTGAAAGCAGAAGTAGACAACAGAAACTGTAAAGTAGTGTTGCACTGGACAGATTCTTCTACAGCACATATAAACTAACAGAAAGTCCATCTTGAAGTTCCATAACATTTGGTGACCACTCCCTTTGGTAAATAGCGACTCATCACTTTTTATCATTTGAACAGTCAAGTGTATGAAAGGGTCTCGGCAAACCAACTGGCTTTTGTAGTTAATCATATTATAAATTAAATTATTAACTAATATTTTTAGTTTCTTATGCACAGTTTACATACAGCGACCACTAATTGTATAAAAGAGTTATTGTTACTCATATTTTTCTTGTCAATAATATTGTGTTATAAAATAATGTTGTTTTAAAATAAATAATTTGTTCATATTTACCTAACCTCTAAATTTAAGGTACTAAATAATAACCTGTCAATTGAAAACAATCAAAAGTTTTGTCTGAAAGTAAAATATGTTAAAATCATGACAACTTAAAAACATTGTTATGTCTGTTAACAAATCAAAAAATTTTTAAAGTTCCACAGTTTTTTTTAGAGTATGGAAAAACTTCCTTTTCATCTCTTTTTTTGTATCAGTACATATTATAAAGTATTCCATATTACTAGTATATTCAATTTTAAATCCATTTAGGATTTTTTTATGTCCCCTATCTTTAACACGTTCGCTACTGCAATAGTACGAAATTTTCCATTCACATGGACCAGCGACGCACATATGCGACGGCCGGTTTCCACCCATAGACTGCCGACGCATATATGCGACGGCTAGTCACATTAAAATAGACTGATGACGTATATTTGCGTCGGGGTTCTAATGTTATTAAAATGCTTATATTTTTGTAACGGTCTATTTGAAGGCACTGAATTCCCTGCAGTGGTCTACAGAGATGTCTGACGCACAACTGCGTCGCTTGGTCTGTGGATATGATGATTAGTGACGTCATATAATAGTTGGAAAAACTGGTCTTTACTTTTCTGCATCACTGTATGTATGTATGCTGCATTATCCTATGTAGCTTTTATATTTGTTCAGTTATAAACTGTTCTTGAATAATCTGTTTATTTCTTTACTTACTTTCACCTTAAAACACAAAAAAATGAACTGTCGCATATATGCGACGTTTAGTCTATTTCAAGAAAACTATGATAATTTTCACTATTGTCTTCGCTGTAGACCGGGCGTCGCAAATATGCGACATTACAAAAGGTTATAAAAAATACAAATAAACAAGAATAATTTATTTACAAACACGATTGTAGCACATTACAATGTAAATGATCACTGTTTTACAGGTTTTCGCCCGTGGTCTGTGTGTACTGTTATCCAAGTGACAGTCGGTCTATGTGTAAGATTCAAATGTATAACTCGGTCTGTGGCAATGACCGCGGCGTCGCATATATGCGACGCTCAGTAGCGAACGTGTTAACACTGTAGAAAATGGCTTTAAATGTAACGTAGACCCCGTCAAACACTATTGTTGTACGATAAAACTTTATAAAATTCAATTTTTAGTCAAAAACCCTACTACCCCATCCCATAGAATGCTCTTTTACGAGGGGTATATTCTAAGTGTCACAGAATTATGGCATTAAATATTCTAACACCTCTTTTCATTTATAGTTATGAACACGCTGTTGACTTCGCAAGTGCTGCTAACGATGAATTCTACACAGGCTTTCAAACCTCCCAATCCCCACAAGTGTACAAACTGCGGAAGAACGTACAAATACAGAGAGAATCTTGCGAGGCATTTAAGGCAGGAATGTGGAATCGAACCAATGTTTGCGTGTCAGTTTTGTCCTTATCGCGCTAAGCAGAAGACCACACTTCACACACATATACGAAACATGCACATTGACTCGATGCGAGAATTTGAACTGTTTAAAAAATCTAGTCAATAAATAAAGGTTTTCTTGTAAACACTATTATGATATATAATTAGAAATTTTAAGTAGTACAAATTTTATAAAATTCAAAATACAATGATTGTATCTGTTAACAATTAAAATTGCTCATTCAGAGAGAGCCAATCTTTCATGGTTCATAAAATTGTTTAAACTTAGCTTTTGAATAGATATTCAAATAACACTTTTTTCTTGCTAGTCTAGTAATAGATTTAAGAGTAGGATCTACTCTTTTAATCTGTGGTCTAGTTAAACAGTTTCATGATTTATATAACTTTTTCCATTAAAATCCATGTTTTTTTGCCCCTGAGCTGTAACGTAACTAAAAAAGGAGGCCTTACCTTCGTCAATCGGCTCAAAAGTTTGATAGAAACTTTAAAAGCTAATTGACAAAGGTTAACCCTACTTTTTAACTTTTTTCATCCCAGAAAAAGCAAGTAGTTCAAAGATATTCAGGCAACTCTTCAATAAATGTACAATAAAGTGTTTCACAGCTTTACAATTCAACGTGAGAAGAGTTGGCTATTTTAAAATTGTGATATAGAAGACTTGTTTTGTTTCAATAAAATTGAAACAAAATTTGGTTTAATTAATTTTAACAAGTAAATTAGAATACAATTATTGTAATTGTTATACATCTGATATTTAGATGTAAGATATTAAAAGTATTTTTTTTGTGATATTTGAATAATGTTTTTATCGGCCCATCCTCAATACACTCACAAAAAATTGTATTTGTTGCTGTTTTAAACTTTAAAATGCTTATAAATAGAGGTTTGGATACGTGTTTTACGTTGGAACACTTCCAGTCATTGCATTTTAAAATTTTCATATCATCAATTTTACAAAACTGCAACCTATTTTTTTTTTATTTTAGTGAATAAATACAAAGAGGGATAAAATGTTTTGAGTGATTTTTTCATCCTTTGTTCCCCAGGTAGTAATCAATACCAGGTAACGTCAAAACTGGTTTCTGTCGAGGGAAGTACTGAAGGTAGCTCCAAAACATTACGAAATGCAAATTATTTAACTCACTCTCCTTTTTAGGTATGATTTACAGTATATAATAACATTAACATTTGATATAATTGAAAATACTGATAGTTTTCAGTTGAATATTTTTACAGGTTTCAGGGGTATTTTTTAATATGGAACAATGGAGTTAAAACACAAAGTTTTGCCAACTTGAGATTGTTTTGAAAAGATTAACTTTTAAACCATGAGCTTTCAACTCTGGTATGTTGTGGCGGAAATATACTTGTATCAAGCAAGGAAGAGCCCGAATGGCCAGCACTGTGCGGAAATTCCTTTCGCACAGGGCATAGGTTCCTCCTTTATGTAAGCTTTGTAGTACATGAGGGCAAGGGGGCGTCGTTGGAATTTGCCCTAGACACCAGAAGTAGTGCTAGACACCACTTAAGTGTACCATGGAGTGTATCCTCTGTATCTTACTTGTCTGTGGCGCCCTAGACACCAGAACTAGTGCTAGACACCACTTAAGTGTACCATGGATTGTATCCTCTGTACCTTACATGTCTGTGGCAAAAGTGATAAACTGTATAATTTTTAAGTCACCAATGAACAATGGTGAAGTGGGTGGAAATTATCCTTCTCTGCATTCAAACAAAACGTCACTTTATCAACACTTTAATAATAGGTGACCAGTATTTCTTTTGAGACAACGAAGAGCGTTCCTGCACTGGAAGAGTTTGCGACAACACCACTGCAATACAAAACAATACAAAATCATACCTGTGTTATGATATGTCTGGTATAATTCACCAGGGTAGCTGAGCGGTTATAATGCTCACAACAATCAAAAGGTCACCGGTTCGAGCATGAGAAAAGTCAGTAGCTTTTTGATGGTTTAAAACTGGACCCAGCTGTTCTTGATCACTGGACTTTAAATAAATGATCCTGAAGCCTGGTTTACTCGGGTCGAGTATAGCAAGCGAGTTGTTCGGCCCAGTTGTTGATTTGTTTAACTCGCCTAATACTTGACTAGACTGTCCATACGCGTCCCTATTTCTGACTGGGAACATGTAACTTAGGCACAGAGGAGTAATCTTTATTACTTCTCTGTGGTGTAGGGTATTCCAATACCGTAGCATTCGTGTTTAATGTTGTTTGAGTTTAAAATGTCACGTTGAGAGTTAAATGCTGAACTTAGAACTTAAATCACGGAATTAGATTATTCAAATTAAAACTGAATCACCACTTAAATTCAGAGGTTGCTTAAAAGCTTTTTTGCAAATAGCTTTTAAATGGTGAAGAAAACAACCAAAGTGAAAGGTGATATTCCGAAAGAGAATTAAATTTGCTACAAATTACTATAATGTATGTCTTGAAAATACTCAATAATGGCAGCCAAAAGTTGCCTCCAAATAAAAAATGTGAAAACACTGTTTTCAATGTAAATCTGATCGAAAACATGTTTAGGGAGTGAGCTTTCTAATGACCCATTGATTAATAGATCCGGTCCAGTAGAACTGTAGATCTTTAGTTGTACAAAGATTTTTAAAACTGAACTTTATAAGAGTAGATTTACGTACAGCCAGACAATGCAATACAGGATCAACTGTTCAACTGAATCATTGAGCTTTAAGTGTTGAGTGAGTAGGCCTATACTGAACTAACATCAATACTGACTCACCCAGCGAACATGGAAAAAAATTATATTTAATTCTGTGGTCGCTGGACTCACTTGACAGCAGTATACAGATGTTTTGCGGGCAAATCATGGTGGAAGGGGGTAGTTACTGGGCCGAGCAATCCGGTTTTCAACTAAATCACTCGACTTGCTCTCAACTTACCTATTTTTACCAACTCGCCTGCATGTCTACAACAAGCGTGTCAGAGAGCGAGTGACAACTCGACTGACTCGCCCTTCGTACTCGACTTGTGTAAACCAGGCTTGAATGATGAAACCTGGTCTTATTCAGTAACATAGCTATACAGATCATTTCACATCATTTTACACTCATCCTTCACTCATATTTGGGTTAAAATATGCACATAGGTGGTGTCCCCATCTTAAATGGTAATGATAATATTAATGTTAATGCCTTATTCTCACCAAATAATTGTGTTATAACCATTATCATAAAGAGTTTTCTGTCATTTACTGCATAGTTTTGTTCACAAATTTGTCTCTGTCTTGACTATGTTTTATTCAACTCGTTGTACACTAAAGTATATATAACAATGTTATGCTTACTACAAATCAATTTTAACATTAACACAACATTTTTTCACAGATCCGCAACGCTATATGTGTGATCAGTGTGGCCGCACTTACAAGCGGAAGGGAACTTTACTGGAGCATACGACCCTAATCTGCAACAAAGAGCCTCAGTTTTCCTGCAGTCTATGTCCCTACAAGTGTCACACAAGACGTCGCGTTAAGCGCCACGTGTTGACTCAGCATTTCAGTTAGAATGGAACCGATCTGGCACAAGTGTTAGATTCATAAGTCCCCAGATTTTTTCATTCATTTGCTTTAGGTATTTAATTGGAGTTACTTACTTTTTTTACCAACATTACAATTACTAACACATTTTGGCTAAAAATGTTAGCATGATGGATCCAATGTGGTCCAGATTTAAATTTGCTCTTCTATTTGTGATTGGACATTATTGGCATTATTTATGTGTTTTATGTCAGAACAGTCTGAACCCTGTAACCAGTTGATTTGAGCATGGAGTGATTCATTGTACAGTAATTGTTTACTCAAGTCCCTTAACAATTGTTTAGTTTGTGTTTAGTACTTCTGTTCATGTCTGTAAGTTACCAGATAGAAATATTGTATTAGAAAAGTGTTGTTTGAAATTATAATACTACAGTACATATCTGTAAGTTACCACAATTTAATGTGTCATTTAAAAAAATATTAAAAGTCTAAACACAAAAAACTTTTATTTTTTAACATTTTTTCTCAGCAACTTTTAACATTTAATTTATAAAATTGATTTTTTACCATTGTAACAAGTTATCTATACAACAATTTTTGAAGTTCTCTTGACTTCTTTTTAGAATAGCTATTTATTTGTTGATTGATGTTTAATTGGAAAGAAATATATGTAATATCGGGATATAGGAATATTTTATTAATTAAATAAAGAGGCTAGGAGTCGTAGTATGATAGATTAGTTGTTATTAAATATTGAATAAAGATATTTAAGAAAATAATAGAGACCTATATTTTATTTTTTTCCAAATGGGTGAACCTTTAAGAAAGCATATGCGACCTTTGAACCACAAGTCATGGAATTATCACATAGCAACCCCTATTGGTGAATGGTGAGACTTGGACCCAGATCTCCAGGACGAAAAGCTTACAATCCAACCACTAAACTAGCTGCATTACATTTATTTCACATGTTTGGTATTTTGTATCCTATAAAACAACTACAGTATAACCAAATTTACTTTTCAATAGAAAAATTAATAATTCTCAGAAGTTACTTTTAATTAAAGAAGCTTTTGTATCACTCTTCTTAGTTAAAAATTTTATGTGTTATTTAAACTATACTGTTTAAATGGTTATTGCCTGATTAGAAGATGGATATTACCTTACTTATTTTTACATTATTGAAAGTATAATATTCTTCTTATACGAGTATTTAAAATACTTGTAAATTTTTGTTTGTCATCAATTACCAAATTACTGTAATCTGTGTCTCTTGATAGGTTTCACCATTGAATAAAGACCTACTGTAAATCTCACTGGGCCAGTAACAACCTTGGGTTTGAGTCTGCTAGTATCTACGCCAGAATCTAGGAGTGCTGCGCTGCTGCTGTGACTTTTAAAGTATAAATTTCCCTTGTATATTTACTAGCTGATAGCAACGCTGTAAAGAAGTCCGTTCTCTCGCCTACCACGCCAACGTCTGGCCAAGACCAACAGCCGAAGCGCTCTTAAATTCTGGTTTGGACGCTATCAGATTCAAATGTAACATCTTTTGGCTCAGAGAAAGTTCTTGGTTAGGTCTTTATTCTATAGCTTCACTCTAAATTTAGGATTTAAAATTTTTCTCTGTGAAAACTTCTTGTCTTTACAAACATACCTTAAATTAATCCAAAAGTTATACTTACTAGATTTTTTAAACACCCTCCTTGTTTAATACTTTATATTAAATAAATACTTATTTTCTGTCCAGAACTCAGATTTGGTTGTGAAACTTGCGGCAAATCCTATAAACAAAAGGATAATCTGAAAGCTCACATACGCTACGAGTGTGGGAAAGAGCCGATGTTTCCTTGCTCCATGTGTCCTTACAAAGCCAAGCGAAGGACACATCTGCGAACCCACATGGCTTCAAGACACACGATCCTGTTGCCACACCATAGAAACTAGAGAGTTGATTGTCTCTTCACTGTCCTCTCCTTAAAAGTCCTTCTTTTTTGCAAAAAATTGCTTCACTGTCCTTCATTTCTGTCCTTAAAATACTCCTTTATGTTTTTATAGCTATGTTTAGCCAAGGTTTATTTAAGAAACATTTTAATTTTGGTTATTTTTTAATAAATAAAAATGTTCAGTCCTCCTTTTACTTTTCCCCCCTATACCATAGTATATGGACAAAGTATTGTTTTTGTCAAAATTTTTGAGTTTGAGTTTTGATTGGATATATCCGTTTATTTGGGTCCCCCTGAACCCAAAAAAAGTGGTTTTCGAAGTGATGTCTGTGCGTGTGGATGTGTACAGAGCTACAGACCGCACCTGTGGTCCGATTTTGATGAAATTTGGTAGTTAAGTTCAAATGGCTATTGCCTGATTAGAATATGGACATTACCTTACTTATTTTGACATTATTGAAAGTATAATATTCTTCTTATACGAGTATTTAAAATACTTGTAAATTTTTGTTTGTCATCAATTACCAAATTACCGTAATCTATGTCTCTTGATAGGTTTCACCATTGAATAAAGACCTACCGTAAATCTCACTGAGCCTATAAAAACCTTGGGTTTGAGTCTTCTAGTGACCACGCCAGAATCTAGGAGTGCTGTGCTGCTGCCGTGACTTTTAAAGTATAAATTTCCCTTGTATATTTACTAGCTGATAGCAACGCTGTAAAGAAGTCCGTCCTCTCGCCTACCGCGCCAACGTCTGGCCAAGACCAACAGCCAAAGCGCTCTTAAATTCTGGTTTTGACGCTATCAGATTCAAACGTAAAATCTTTTGGCTCAGAGAAAGTTCTTGGTTAGGTCTTTATTCTATAGCTTCACTCTAAATTTAGGATTTAAAATTTTTCTCTTTGAAAACTTCTTGTCTTTACAAACATACCTTAAATTAATCCATAAGTTATACTTACATGATTTTCAAACACCCTCCAAGTTTAATACACTACGACTACATTTACTAAATACTTATTATTTTCTGTCCAGAACTCAGATTTGGTTGTGAAACTTGCGGCAAATCCTATAAACACAAGGATCATCTGAAAGCTCACATACGCTACGAGTGTGGGAAAGAGCCGATGTTTCCTTGCTCCATGTGTCCTTACAAAGCCAAGCGAAGGACACATCTGCGAACCCACATGGCTTCAAGACACACGATCCTGTTACCACACCATAGAAACTAGAGAGTTTATTGTCTCTTCACTGTCCTCTCCTTAAAAGTCCTTTTTTTGCAAAAAATAGCTTCACCGTCCTTCATTTCTGTCCTTAAAATACTCCTTTATGTTTTTATAGCTATGTTTAGCGAAGGTTTATTTAAGAAACATTTTAATTTTGGTGATTTTTTTAATAAATGAAAATGTTCAGTCCTCCTTTTACTTTATCCCCCTATACCATAGTATATGGAGAAAGTATTGTTTTCGTCAAAATTTTCGAGTTTGAGTTTTGAGTGGATATATCCGTTTATTTGGGTCCTCCTGAACCCAAAAAAACTGGTTTTCGAAGTGATGTCTGTGTGTGTGTGGATGTGTACAGAGCTACAGACCGCACCTGTGGTCCTATTTTGATGAAATTTGGTAGGTAAGTTCTAATCCATGGAATCTCCAGGCCTTTTTTCACTTTATTGAAATTTTGATTTTTAATGGAGATTTTCCTATAAAAAACTCTTAAAATAACAGAAAAATTAGATTTTCTCAAAAACGGCCCAAACGATTTTGATTAAACTTTATGTTACAGCCCTTTAGATTCTGAACAAAATGGTATAACTTCAATTGCTATAAAAATTGGGGACTCAGTTTCTAGTGAACTGGGGACTCAGTTGGTAGTAAACTGGTGGATATAAAGGTATTAGGCCTACTGCAGGTGATTCTATGTGTGAAAAGATCTTTTCCTCCTCTGCATAGACTCTCACATATTTAACAGAAAAAATATTTTACATTTTTTAAGTTAATTGCAGTGCTATTCAAGGGCAGTTGGTTATTTTGACACAATTATTTGATGTTTTTGAACAATCAAAAGCTAATAACTTTGCTTAGGATCAATTCAGCAACTTAATGGGTGAGTACTCACTTACCTACACAGAATAAAGATGTAAAAGATTATTTAGATAAACATAAACAAAAAGGGTTTCTGAGACCTTTGAAATTTTTATTCAAAAGGTTTTGATCCATCTTTGCAGTCAGGAAGACGTTTACATGAATATGAAATATTCTAATATTTCACATTTGGATTTTCCATGGCCATAGCCACAGCCTCCTCTAACACAAGGCCACGGCAAGACAAAAGTGTCAACACCACTGTCCCGGCAAACCAGAACATCTGTTGCATTAACATTCTGTTTACTTGTTTGTTACTTCTGTTATTACCATGGCCACAACAGGCCTTGCCACAACAGGCCTTGTCACAACAGGCATTGCCCCACACACAACGCCAACGTCTTGTAATCAAGGAGGCTATGCCATAGCACTTGTAGCACATTTTTATAGTATACCCGTTTGCTCAAAATTCTTTGTTATTAGGCTGTGGGGTGTTCCCTTGTGACCAGTGCGGACGACAGTACAAAAACAAAGGAACCCTGACGTTCCATCTCCGTTACGAGTGTGGGAAAGCGCCTCAGTTCCAATGCACGATCTGCAATTTCCGCACTAAGAGGCGAAGCAACTTGAAAGCTCACCTTCTTAGACATGTCTGACTTCATTGTACAATAAATAAACAAAAAAAAACCATGCATCTGTTTTTTGTTCTGAACAACTGCCATGAAGGAACTCAAGAAGTTTACTGTTTTTTTTATATGATTTAAATTTTGATTACAATTAATTGTGGTTTGATCATTTAATTACCAAACTTTGAACTTAAGAAATATACTAAGAACATAAGAAATATTATTATTTAATACTTTCATGTTGTCTTTCACAAGTTTTGAATACTTCCAATTACATGCAGCCCAGGATGCTGGTAAATAACTTTAAATGTATTTGTTAATTTTTTTATTAAACTAATTTTTTATTTTACATATTTTTAAAATATTTTTTAAAGTAAATCACTCTTTAGGTTAAACATCTTCAACAGACAGATTTTAAATATGGTAAATTAGTAGTTATATTCATCTAACTATCTAAAGCAAACGTTTTATTATTCTATGATGTGGTTTCCTCTTGTTAAAAATGTTCAGTTACAAATTAATTTTTGAAAGGTAAAAGAGTAATTAGATAACTAGTTTTTTCTTTGGAAACGAGTTTTAAACCATATTAAAATGTGCAGATTGAGCACAGGCTCTCTTGTAGCATTTTTTGTTACTCCTCAACCAGTTAACCATAACAGTAAATATGCTTCCAGTGTCCAGCGTTGGAGTCTGTTTCCCCTGCGATGTATGCAACAAGATCTACAAACGGCCGGAGAGTTTAGCGAGACATAAGAGGAACGAATGCGGGAAAGAACCGAAGTACCTCTGTGAACTGTGTCCCTTCAAAACGAAACACAATTTCAACCTAAAAACACATATGGCTTTGAAACATCATGTTCTTTAGTTATTTGTCACAATTAAATAATTATATTGTGTTGATTTACTTAAGTAGTTTATTCTTTTCACTTTATTCGGTTTAGTAGATGATTGTTTTAAGGAACCTTTGTGCACGAAAGCTTAAGTATTGAATTGGACCACTGGACCACTAATTTCAAATTAAATTACTAAATTTGTGACACACATATCCTAATAAACAGGTCCATTAAATATTGAGCAACCTTATGTGGGTGAGTATCTAATAATATTTATTTTCAAAAATTAATCTTTGTAGCTATGTCACATCAACTATGGTTGTAACAATAACTTGCTGGGGAAAATACAATTTTGACAATAGCACCCTCTGTGAGAGCCTTAATAAACTAAGTTAAATTTTACTACAAATTTGGTTACAGTTGGTATATTGAATGTATACTTTAGTGTCCAAAAGTTTAGATCATAAAACAACACCTACACACCACGGTGAAAATTTAAAGAAAAAAAAATAGTTTAGAATTAGAGAGATCATAGAGTTTACTAAGATCAGTTGTTTCTGGTTTTATTGTGAGAATTATTCATCCCAAACCATCAAAAACAGCTAACTCAGTTCCAAACTATAAAAATTATAAAAAATTTCATTATTTCACTGATAACCTTCCCATTTGCTACTACAATTAAACAAAAAACTTGTTTCTTTTCTAGTCTATTCTTAGAATGTGTTAAACAAAAATTTAAATGGTAATGAAAGCTTGCCTTTTTAGGTCTGTTCAACAATCCCTACATCTGCGACCAGTGTGGGGCCAAGTACAAACACCAGAGGAACCTAACCAGACACATCAAGATAGAGTGTGGGAAGCCTCCGGCTCATCAGTGTGCGTTATGTCCGTACAGAGCTAAACGGAGAAACAACTTAAAGTCTCACTTCATAATGAAACACCCTCAAGATGCATTGCTTCTCGAGTAACCTCAAAATAAAGTCTTAAAAATTTAGACAAAAATAAAACCGGTATCAATGTAAATGTTAAATGGGAGTATTAGTAAAGTGGTGAGATACTGGATTCAGTATATACAACTTTAGCGTATCCACAAAAGTCTGACATATATCCATAAAACTCCTTTGTATCCACAAAACTCTGCTGTATACTAAAAACTCTGTTGTATCCACAACACTCATATGTAGTATCAAAAATTTAATTTTTTTTACTGTTTTCATAAAATGTTAAAGTAGGTATGACCTAACAACAAACATGAAAAATAAAAAAAACTGATAAAACAATGAGAAAATCCTGAACAGTTAATAGCACTTTGATATACATTTCATAATGTGCTATTTGTTAAAAGAATTACATTTTTCTCTTTTGGTCTGTACTTACCTGTAGTACTCTGTTTACCATATGTTATTTTATGAACCACATGTTATTTTTCAATATTAATTTTGTAAACAGTTGTAGTACTCAATACATTTTTTGTTTAACTAGCAGTGAGTGTCAATTTATCCATATTTTTGTTTCAAATAATCATTTTAAGAACATCAGTTTCAAGTGGCAACATAGACAAAAATAGTTAAATATAGACCGTCAGCTGTGCTGCGGTTACCATAGGTTCTGGCGCACAAAAGAAACCTGTAGTTACAGCCTACGCGCTACACGTAACTATACAGCGCTCCCAGCGTTGTGCGCCAGAACCTATAGTAACCATGGTAACCACCGCACTGCTGACAGTCTATATTTAATTCTGTTTGTCTATGATATCAAACATCATTACATTCAAAACATTTGTTCAAGTAATACTTAAAAGGTAATTCAAACACTCTGTATTTCTGTATTCCGAAGGTTTTGCACAGTATGACAAAATAGTAATGTTTTAAAAACTCTGATCATAATAAACCTGACTTTGATTTTTGGTCTTCAGAAGGCCACAACGTCATCGAACGAGCAAAAATACTGGTTGAAGTTTCAGATGCTGCAGCACATACTCTAGGCTGGTTCAACAACAAGGTCTTTGACCATCGACTTTGACCATGGATGCATACATATTTTAATTCTATTCAAATTTCAATTCTGTTCTGAAAATCTTCTTCACTATTCCAAAAACGATTGTAATTGTAGAATGTTCTTTACAGTTACAAACATTTTGTTAACTTTCCAGCAGTTTGGAATCTGCCAGGCCTAATGTCCTCTGGTCGTCCGTTCGCTTGTATCCAGTGTGGTGCAGCCTACAAACACAAACGTAACCTGATGAGGCACTTAACACACGAATGTGGTAAAACTCCTGCGTTTGCATGTCAGAGGTGTCCTTACAGATGTCACAGAAGGAATAGACTCCGGTTTCACATGCTGACCAAACATGAAGATCCTGGGGCTTCAAGGATGCTTCAGATTTAGTTGCAGTGAAACTCCGATAATCGGTAACCTAAATTAAAAGGCAAAGCCGAAAGTTATAGAAACAATTTTTCGTTTATTCAATAGCTGGAATTTAAAGACTGTTTCAGTTCATAGAAATGTCAAGTGTAAAGACTAAAAAAATATTAAAATCTATTAATAAAACACCCATTGACAACATATAAAAACAATTACACTGTAAAGAAAATACACGGTAGTGTAAATTTTTCTTGGCTTGGATTAACATTTGATTGGGATGGTCATGTCCATAAAACTTTAACCTCAATAAACTCAGGAATGTATGATTTAACATGAATCAAGTTATTACCACAACTTACAAATTTATACAATTTTAAAAATATATATTTTTGTTTATGCACACTTTTACATTTCTTTTTGTTTTTCCCTGGGACATATCTACTATAAAATCACTGGATGATATTTCAGAACAACAACAAAAAACTACACAAATATTTCTCAAGTTAAAATTCTGATAATTCAGTTAAAGAACATTTTAAATTTAACGGTTTTAAATATTTACTGGCTACAGCTAAATATAAATTTGAGGCCATTTTTGTTGCAAGAGGTGCAAACAATAAAAAAAATCTCTGATATTCCAAGACAAGAAAAGATTTCTAAAGAATATTTAATAAATAAGCATTTGTATTCAACAGAAGAATGTGCTACCTATTTGTGAATAGTGAATAATAGTGAGAAATCTGTTGTAGTTTTTATTTAATGTTTTAATCCAAGCACCTTTTGTACAGGTTTTTTTCTCTCTCTAAGTTTTATGAATATTTTACTATATTCAGATCCGTAGTTTTAGGTTACTTAAACTATTGACTCTATACATTGTACCATAAAAATTTTTGAATAAAGATTTTTCATTATGACTATTTTTAAATTCTGTTCTCTACCTCCATTTTTGTTACTGACGTTGTTGAAGTTTAATAAAATATGCTATGGATTACAATGGGTTTTCCCATTGTATTCTTTCCTATCAGTTTGACTTAAAGTCAGCATATTCAATAAAGATTGAAATTAGTAAATTACCAGCTCAATCTGTCAGTGGCTCTATTTAACGCGGTCCGTTCAGATAAAACATCAGGCGACAACTCTAATACGTTGATGGAATGTCTAGTTTTCTCAACAAAGAATAATGTTCCCATTTACAATAATAAACAATGCTGATTTTATTCTGCAAATCAGCTGATTTTAAATAAGGTTCCAAATTGTAAAATTTGGAAACGGGTAAAATTTTGATTATCTAATAAATTCTACTCAGTAAATGTCCATTAACTTTTGTTACAAAGGCTTTAAAGAACTAGATTCCTACGTTTTGACCCAACCAAAGGTAGTCTATAAAGATGATTTGGCTTTATTTCAGCTTTTTCTGGAGGGAATCCACCGTTCATTTGTACCGCTTGTGGAAGAAGCTACAAATACATGAGAAACTTAAAGCATCACGTCCTTCGTGAATGTGGCGTAGAGAGACAATACCCTTGCGAATGGTGCGAGTATAAGGCGAAACAGAAGAGTCATCTGAAGGCACACTGGGCCCATAAACACAACGAGATTTTCTTCAGTAAACAGGAATTTAATTCCATTGGAGAGGCTTCAAACTCAAAAAATCCCATTTAAAAAAATAAGTTGTTGATCGTTTTATGTATTTTTAAAATACTAATTATTTTACATGTAAGGTAGAGTATTAGTTTTTTTACAGAATAAAAAACACTTACTTACTTTCTGTATAGTTCTCAAAATCCTGTGTCAAGTTACTTATTTTTAAGAAAAAAAGCATTAAGGTCTACTTTGTTTTAGTCTAAAAATCAACCTGAAATGGAGCGGGGAAAAGAATCTACTATATTTATCAATTTACATTACAAAAATATACAATTAATAATTGTTTCATAAGGTTTTACATTTATGGGTGGTGTGTGGATCCTAACCCGTGGTATCTCCAGGGTTTTTTTTAATTTTTTGAAATTTTGATTTTTAATGGTGAATTTCACATGCAAGTAATTTGAATTGGCAAGAAATTGTTAAATATGAAGCTTGTTTATTTTTTCGTAGGAGGAACACCCGGGACATTTACTTGTGAAGACTGCGGAAGAAAATATAAATACAAATACAACCTGAACCAACACAAGAGGAATGAATGTGGAATGGAACCTAGGTTTCCATGTATATACTGTGAATTCCGAAGTAAACAGAAAAGTAACTTAAAATCCCACTACTTCAACAAACATAAGGACAAACCATACCCTTTCTAGCGATGGCCCTGTGACAAAATAAGCCAATAATTAAAAATTTCTGCAGAAAGTTTTTAGTTTTTGTATGATCTGAACATAATTATCTTAGTGTTCGTGTTTATGTTATTAAACATGTTTGAATCGATTTTGATATAATTTTTATCACACACGCTATTATCCCATGGACGTATATATTCCCTCACAATACTTAGGAATATAAGAATGGGAATTCCAGGCTTGGGTGGTCATTCACAACAAAAGAGGTATTGCAAATGTTTACAATTTAAAAGAAAACCTGAAAGCATATGAATGATTTTTAGGAACTGTGAACTGATGTTTCACACTTTGTATGTAGCTTTCTTGTAAAACTGTGAATCAGTGGCACGATTAGTCAAATATAACCAGTAGAGTACTGTACAGAGTTAAAATAATAGTAATTTGTCATAAGAATTAATTTTTTTATTGCTTCTCCTAAACCATAATGCTCTAAAAAAGCATTAAGGTCTACCTCGTTTTAGTCTAAAAATCCACTTGAATTGGAGCGGGGAAAAGAATCTACTGTATTTATCAATTTAAATATAAAAAAAATACAATTTATAATTGTTTTATTAAGATTTACAATTATGGAGCTTTTTGTATTAGTTATTTGACTGTAATACATTTTATTTAAGCACTAAGAATAGGCATGGAAGAAAATTTATATTTTATTAATTTACCTTCAAAAGGTAAAATATATTCAAAAAGGTTCCGATTTTGAAGAAATGTGGTGTGTGGATACTACTAATCCATGGTATCTCCAGGGTGTTTTTCAAATTTTTTGAAATTTAGATTTTTAAAGGTGAATTTCACAACAAAAATGAAATAAGAAAAACTAAATTTTCTCAAAATGGCCCGAACGTTTTTAATTAAAATTTAGTATGTTATATATAGTACTTTTAACTCTAAACTGTACAAATTATGGTTTGAAAGTTACTGCATCGTTTGTGAATTTCCCTATATATAATCTAAGTTACTCTTACCGCTTACCCAAGTGTCTTGATATGGATTGTTGACAAGCTAATGGGAGAAAGTATGTGTCAGATTGCTGATACCGTTTATTATTTTGTTCACTAAGGCCAACAGTTTGTGCTCACTTCGGTTTCCAAACTAGACCTATCAAAAAGAGTCACTGTAGACTAGCAATGAAGTATACTTTTACGATTATCACATTTTTATAAAATAATGTGATTTTGTAACAGGTTACGGTATCAAACCGTTCTCCTGTGACGAGTGTGGACGCAGCTACAAGTACAGACGGAACCTGGTACAGCACAAACGTATCGAGTGTGGCAAAGAGGCGAGCCTATGCTGTCCGATATGCCCATATAAGACAAACGTCAAGAGCAACTTGAAGGCTCACTACGCTACCCGTCACTCGGAACAACTCGTCGGCAAAATAATATCTGACAAACATTTTTCTTTCTAGTAAAATTTATTTTCTAAAGTGGTTGACTCAGTTTATTTCCTTCAGTTTGTTTTGTTTGTTCTAAGAAATGAATGGTCAGTCGTAGGTAGCACTACTGGGAATCCAAGGCTGCAATGTATTGCATTTACGTCCCATTGCCGTTAATATTTTTTGTTTTTATAGTTCATTCTTGCACTGAATTAGCCACCCCTTGTGTCAATCTGTGTATTACCACACTTTTTTTTTTGAGTAATGCAGATGTTAAAATATTATAATTAAGTAGCAATGCATTTTATGCTAAGGATGTTATGTATATGTTAATACAATTTTTTAATTTTTTTACGATCATCTTAGTCGATTAGCTGACAACACACATTTTATGCTCGTGGGGTAGTTTTTTTTCAAATACATGCAATACTTTTTTTTCAAAACTAGACCTAAATGTGTGCCTAGTGGTTAACGTTTTGAACTTTGTTTGAAGAGGTTATTGATTTCTCCTGGCATATTCAAAACAATATGAGCAGGTTATGCTTATTCTCTTCCATTTGAGTTTCTCATTAACAAATTTAATATAATTCTGTTGTTGACAAACAACCTCATATGATTTTTTTAGCTGTCTTCTTGTTTTAAACGTTTTTACCAATTCATGTAAACTCTGTTTCTGTAGATTTTGAGATGTTCGACTGCCAGGACTGTGGGAAGATATACAAGTACATGAGGAATCTCAAAAACCATCAGAGGTTCGAGTGCAACTTGGAGCCCAAGTTTCCTTGTTCTGTGTGCAGCTACAGGGCCAAGCGGAAAGGGACTCTGAAGAGACATTTCTTGAAGCTCCATCCTGACCATGAACACCCTGCCTAGTCAGTAGTCGGCTATCAACAGATTTTGCATATTGAGCTGGATTAAGTTATTGTTAAGTTATAATCAAATCAAGAATGATATACTCATATGCACTTGTACATTACTAGAGCAGAGTCAATAACTTATTTTAAGGACAGGTTTAAGTTGTTAAGTTTTTGTATACAGAAGACCTCACTTTGTGTATGTGGGCTGACTAGGATAAATCCCAGAACGTAACATTTTTAGCGTCACAAAATTTCCAAAATTTAAAGAAAATTTATTTTTTTGAATAATAATGTGAAAAACATATAAATTGCAATCAATATTTTAAGCTCTAAATAAAGTTAAAACTTGTTTTCTCCTGCAAACTTAAATTCCAAAAGCTTTCCATGGAGGGAAACGTTCACTTTCAAAACATTAAACAATTTGAATGTATAGAGAAAAAACTATACCTATTATCTCAGTAAATATTATATTTTGACAACAATCATTTGTTAAATTCTAACTGAAGTCATTAATTATCGTGCGATTACTGCCATTATTGTGCCACATTTGTTATCATATCATGACCACAGTCATTATATTTTGACCATAATGATTAATATATTCTATCCACAATTATTATCATTCTAACAACAGTCATCATTATTTCCAGATGGTGCTGTATGGGAGTGTGGGGCTTGCAGCAAAAAGTACAAGTACAAATACAATTTGACACAACATCAGAAACTGGAGTGCGGCAAAACGCCGCAGTTCTCCTGCCATTTGTGTGACTACAAGGCCAAGTGGAAGAGTAACCTGAAGAGTCATTACGTGTACCGCCACAACGACCAACCGTTTCCCTTCAAGACGCGGTCCACCTGTGACGCAATGAGTAGTAACAATGGGCAGTCAACTCTTTAGGGGTTGTCCAAACAGCGGCTATCTTGAGAAACATTATCAAATCCTCTCTTTAAAAACTATTTATGCAAACTCATTGACGAAAGAGCTGAAAACCAAAACTTAAAAATGTTACAATGATAAGTCTAGATTTGTATATTTTATGCCTTATGTATTTATGATTATGTATGCTTTATTTATACTTTATTTGCATACACTACAAGCATTGTTGGTGCCACAAACCATTATGTTTGATCAATGGCAGAGTTCAAAATGTCTTCCTAACCAGGGGACACCACTGTAAGGTATAGAGACCCACCTAAAATTGATCATTTATGATTTGGGTGAGAATTGACACTGAATAAAATCAGGCATTTGTAATTTTTATCTTGCCTAACTTAACTGAGTATTATTAGTTCACCAAAACCGAAAGGTGCTCTATGTATTTTACTACTTTTTACTGGCCATTTTACTATTTACCGTAACGTTACCACTAAAAACTCGGTTAAGCTTTGGATTTTTGTGTCTAATGGTAAAGTAAAATATTGTAAACTAAGTAGTTAAATCAAATTATAATTCCTTAAGCTCTAAGGGTTATATTGACATTCTAAAAGCCAGTGTAAATTTGTTTATGAGTTTACAGACCAGAAATTGACATCCCTCCCTCTGAGCATATTATTACAATTCATTACTTAAGTAGTAGTTCTTTACTCCAGTTTACTATGGTTTTCTCTTTGTGTTTGGATTTGACCTAATTAAACATTTAAATATTGTTATTATTTTTGTTGGTTGTATTCAGTTATTTCAATAAAAATATATAGTATAGCTGCAGTGTTAAAACATTTTTATCAGGTAACTCAGAACAAATTAGTTTGGACATATATTTACTTTTAATACCATTTTTAGACATTTTGCTGCCCGAGAATCCTCTGTTAATACATGATTAATACAATCAATCAATACTTTTGTTTATTGCAAGCAAAGCTTTTTATAAAATTAATAAAGAAATACTAAACCAATTTTATTGTTTTAGTTCAACCTATATTGTACTGACTACCGAGAAATCCAAGGCGGACAATAACAAATAACTCATTTGAACTTGCATTGAAATGCTGACAATGAGTGATTTGGTGAATGATTGCCCTCTATATGCATTACCAAATGGGCTCTATCTAAAAAAAATCGAAAATACAGATGAAGCAGCTCCACCTTTAACAAGGGAGCTAGATTTTGTTTGCAAAAATTGTTTTTGCAATGTTTCTTGGGGTTTGGTTGTCTTTTGACCAATTTTGTCATATTTATATTTTTACTTCCTCCACCAGTACATGTGGAGAAAATGTTATTTTTGTCAAAAAAATTTGAGTTTTAGGTGGATAGATCCATTATTTGGGTTATATGGGTTCCCCTGAACCAAAAAAAGTGGTTTTCAAAGTGATGTCTGTGCTTGGAAATTTACGAAGCTATACACTACAACACTGTGGTTCGATCTTGATTAGATTTGGGATGAGTACCTCCTGGCGTTTTTTAATTATTCTTATTATTGTGATTTACTTATAAAAACCCATCAAATAACTGTAAAATATAATTTTCAAAAACGTCCCGAACCATTTTGTTTGAATTCTAGTATGTCACAGTCTTTTTCACATTAAACAAAACAGTAAAACGTCCATTGCTGTAAATTACGGTTCAAAAGTTATAGCAAACTTTTTATTTGTCCCATAAAATATCAGTTTCTCTCACCTGACACAAGTATGTGTCAGATTTCTGATACCGTTTATTTTATTCTTAAAAACTTAGTAAAGACTTTGGCTACTTGTATTTTACATAGTTGTATGATTAGTAACTGTATAGTGACATATACTCAATTTAATCCATTCAATTTAATCCATAAATTTAAATTGTCAAGAAATTGTTAAATATGAAGCTTATTTATTTATTTTTTGTAGGAGGAACCCCGGAGACATTTACTTGTGAGGACTGCGGAAGAAAATATAAATACAAATACAACCTGAACCAACACAAGAGGAATGAATGTGGAATCGAACCTAAGTTTTCATGTATATACTGTGAATTCAAAACTAAACGGAAGAATAACTTAAAAGCCCACCACTTCAACAAACATAAGGACAAACCGTTCACTTACTAGTGATGACCCTGTGACAAAAACAAATCAAACACTTAAAATTTCTGCAGAAAGTTTTAGCTTTTGTATGACCTGAACATATGGCCTTATTTTAAATGTTTGTATTTGTTGATTGTATTAAACATGTTTGAATCGATTTTGAAATAATTGTTATCATACACATTATTTTCCCATGGACGTACATTCCCTCACTACTTAGGAATATAAGAATGGGAATTCCAGGCTTGGGTGGTCATTCACAACAAAAAGAGGTATTGCAAATGTTTACAATTTAAAAGAAAACCTGAAAGCATATGAATGATTTTTAGGAACTGTGAACTGATGTTTCACACTTTGGAGGTAGCTTTCTTGTAAAACTGTGAATCAGTGGCACGATTAGTAAAATATAACCAATAGAGTACCGAACAGTGTTAAAATAATAGTAATTTGTCATAAGAATGGATTTTTAAAATTGTTTCACCTAAACTATTTTCCTATAAATTTCTAAAAGAGTATACTATCAAATCTGAATCTTCAACAAAGTTCAGTTCTGTTTTTTAAGGCCGGTGCACACAGAGACATAGGGACTCATGAGGACAAACTCCGGCAGGCAGACGGATTTTTTTTTGTTACACACTCATCCGCAGGAGTCAGCAAGCAGACAAAATATCTTTTACCTTTTTCACCTCGTAAAAACTAAAAAAGAAAAGAAATCGAACAAAGTGTGGAATAACCAATGTTTTCAAAACATTTTTTTTTTATTTTTACTTTCTCCACCTATACATACATACTCAAACTTTAAGCAAAACAGGAAAATGCTTACTGCTGTAGATTATGGCTGAAAAGCTATTGCAACTTTTGTGATTTTTCCCATAAAATATCATAGTTAAGGCCTTTTCACACCGGCGTACTGGACGTACTGTACGTTTGGTATGGCCAGTACGCGGCCCTTTCACACCGCACCGAAACTTCCAAAACGTACACTTGTTCGTTTGCAGTCAGACAAGTAACACTGGCTGAGCACGTAGTTTTGAAGTGTTCACTTCGCATGCGAAAAGCGAAAGCCCATGTATGCCACATACGTTTTAGAAAAATCGCTCTGAGAGCGATTTACACAAAACCATCGCATACGTACTGGACGATCAGTACGTTCTGTACGCGCGGTGTGAACAATCTCATATGATAACATGGGCAGCGATTTGTTGAAAAAAATACGTACCAAACGTACAGTACGTCCAGTACGCAGGTGTGAAAAGGCCTTACTCCCACCTGACCAAGTATGTGTCAGATTTCTATTACCCTTTATTTTATTCTTTAAAGAATTAATATAGATTTTGGCCCCTTTGCCACATATGTTTAACATAGTTCCATGATTATAGTAACTGAATGGTGACATGCACTAAATTTAATCCAGCTAATTTGAATTGTCAAGAAATTGTTACATATGAAGCTTATTATTTATTTATTTTTCGTAGGAGGAACCCCAGGGACATTTCCTTGTGAAGACTGCGGAAGAAAATATAAATACAAATACAACCTGAACCAACACAAGAGGAATGAATGTGGAATCGAACCTAAGTTTTCATGTATATACTGTGAATTCCGAAGTAAACGGAAGAATCACTTAAAAACACACTACTCCAGTAAACATAAACACAAACCACACCCTTTCAAGCGATGACCTTGTGACAAAACGAAACAATAACTTAAAATTTCTGCAGAAATTGTTTAGCTTTTGTAAGATCTGAACATATTACCTTATTTTAGTAAGTGTTTGTATTTTTTGATATTATTAAACATGTTTGAATCGATTTTGAAATAATTGTTATCATACACATTATTTTCCCATGGACGTATATTCCCTCACAATACTTAGGAAAATAAGAATGGGAATTCCAGGCTTGGATGGTCATTCACAACAAAATTAAGTATTGCAAATGTTTACTATTTCAAAGAAAACCTGAAAGCTTATGAATGATTGTTAGGACCTGTGAACTGATGTTTCACACTTTGAAGGTAGCTTTCTTGTAAAACTGTGAATCAGTGGCACGATTAGTAAAATATAACCAATAGAGTACTGTACAGAGTTAAAATAATAGTAATTTGTCATAAGAATGGATTTTTTAATTGTTTAACCTAAACTATTTTACTTTAATGCTCTAAAAGAGTATTCTAGTAAACCTACATAAAAACTGTATCTTTGACAAAGTTGCCTTTTTTATTTGAATTTTAAGTTTTTATTTCCATTTTTGTCTTTTTGTTATCAGAGGTAATAAATATTATTTTTTAAATTTAAGAACAATATCTTGTGTGTTTGCATCAGTGTTCATTTAATTATTTACTGAGTAAAACTTTTTCGTATTGAAAAAAAAAACTATTTTTAAATGCATTTTCTTTACAAGAATGAAATGAAATCCTGAAGAATATATAATCAACGCCAGTGAAATGATATGTCTAAATCAATAAAATATCAGTTTGAGAGACAAATAAGTTTGGTTATTTCAACATTTAGAAATATACAGTACATATACGTTCTAGAAAAGACTAATTTTTAATATATTGTGTTTATCTTTCTATACCGATAAAGTATTGCATGTTTCTATATTGAAATCCAAGTCCCTACTTACAACCTCTATTTCACAGGCAAAGGTGGCCTCGGTCCGTTCACCTGTGACTGCGGACGACAGTACAAGTACCAGAAGAACCTATCCCAACACAAGAGACTCGAGTGTGGTCGGGAACCCCGGTTCTCGTGTACTTTGTGTCCATACAAAGCCAAGCAGAAGAGTAGTCTCAAGAGCCACTTTATCAACAAACACGTCGGACAACCGTTAATTTTTTGAAATGTAATAAGTTTGTGAAACTTTTTAATAAACTTAGTAATTTCTGTATTTTGTCGTTTTGAAGTCCCAGCGGTTAGTTACAATTTTAATTTTAGATTAAACTAACTGGAGTACTGTCAGGTTATTTTAATTAGAGGAACGATACTTAACTTTGTAAACTAAAGGTCTATTTCAAAGTACTTTAACTAATGTTTTTTATTTTTTCGTTAAAAGAGGCTTTAATGTTTTAAAGAGTTTCTGTTTTTAAACTTATTTTTTTAATTTTTTTACTTATTTTATAATTAGCTGACTGCTATCTACATGAAGAAAGTTTGGCATCTCTGTTAGCTTCTATCACTCTTACTGCAAAATAGGTACACATCATTTACTTTGAATCCTCATATGGAATTCTAAAATTATGATTATCTTTATTGCCCCAAGGTTGTGTGATTGGACAATGGCCAAAACATACTTGTAAGACATTACTTGACATTTTATATAGCAGTGGCGGTTCACAGGTCAACAGCGAGGTCTATAGGGGCTTCACCACCCCATTGGACCCTGGAAAGATAAATTTAAACATATATCGCAAAAATGTTATGAATGTTTTTGGATACAGTTCTTGACCTTAAAATAAATTTAGAAAGTCACCAAATATTTGAGGTTTTTTTTAGATTTGACTTTAAAAATACAAATGTTTTTTTATTGAGGAACTCCGGACCCCCTCCTTTTCTTTAACACCCCTAAACCCCCTCCCCTCGACAAGTTTCTAGAACCGCCACTGATTTATAGTAATAGGTAAAACGTGCTACATCTATTTTGGCAGTTATTTAGGACCCCACTATCATCAGAATACAAAATTATCTACTTCTTAAGGTGTCATCAGAATAAGTTTTAGGTTATCCAAATAACCTTCAAAACTTGATACTTTTGTATCCTGATGATGGCGGAGTTTGACGTAACCGTCAAAAAGTTTGTAGCAAGTTTTATCAAAAGCTACTTAACCACCTGACAAGGATTGTTTAACCACTATTTCCGATCATCGATATTTTAGGACAATTTTCTACTAGTCAGATTACATCATCCTCTGTGTCTAGGTGGAAAGCTTCCCTTCAGATGCCTACTGTGCGGTCGCTCATACACTCGAAGGGACAATCTCACTCGTCATCAGAAGTTCGAGTGCCTCACTGAGCCGCAGTTTGCTTGCACCGAGTGCCCGTACCGTGCTCGACAGAAGGTTCACCTCAAATCGCACTTGGCCATCAAGCATGGCAAATACCTAGATAACAACATGTAATAAACGCATCAACGGCTAATCATGTAATCATTTTAGCCTTTATGAAAAGTTAATTCTGCAATATCTGAAGTGTAGTTAAAAAATATTCAAACAACTACTATTAGAGTAAGAATTAGTTTTAAATTGGTGACCACCAAGTTAAGACAGATTTTCTTAAGACAATCCCACAATATAAAAAACCAACGAAAGAGAGCTCAGAACTCATTCACTTACTTCAACAATACCAAGCAACTACTATTAGAGTAATATTTAGTTTTAAATTGGTGACCACCAAGTTAAGACAGATTTTCTGAAGACAAACCCACAATATAAAAAAAACTATCGAAAGAGAGCTCAGAACTCATTCACTTACTTCAACAATACCGTGTATCTTGTTTCGGACTAAAAATGACATCAAATACATACCTAAAGTCTCGCATTATTCCTTCGCCTAATTAACAATAGCCAAAATATACAAAATTGCACATACAAAAATAAAACACCCTCTACTAAAAAAATGTACAGTTTACCTCACATATTTTTCCTCAGTGTGTGATTCCCACTAAAATGTTTCTGCAACTTGCAGGATCGGTCCCACGTCCGTATATCTGCGAGGACTGTGGAAGATCGTATTCTCGTAAGGACAACCTCCATCGTCACCAGAAGCTTGAATGCAACAAAGCTCCCACTTTTGCCTGTTGGTTTTGTCCCTACAGGGGCAAACGCAAAGGACACTTAACTAATCATATTGCCCTTAAACACTCTTCTTTGGTTCTACCTGATGATTTGTTATAGTATTTGATTTTTTGAAACTATTTTGTACTATTTAAAATTGATATGTACCTTCTTGTGATAATCCATCAATTGAACTGAGACACTAGTGTTGTTATTTTTAGGCTGTACTTGGACATGTTTATTTAGTCATCTTCTGTTGAGCATTGTCACTTTTAAGGTACATTTGACGTCCTCATCCACATAATCATGTGTAATAAAGTGAGATAAAGCCTATGGGCTTCGGTCTTCGAGGTCTCTAGATCATATCCCTGCAAACATCAATGATTTTATCTATTTTATAATGCCAATCTGAAGTCATGTGTACAGAAGTTCTGGGCTAGTTCCTAGTGACATAGGATGTCTGGGCATAAAAACTAGGTGGGAAATAAAAAAAAAAAATAAATACAGCCTGAGAATTTAGGATTACTTTGGTTTCGACTGTCGAGAATACCTAGTTGTTTACTATTTTGATTTAGAGATTACCATAAGTTATTGGTATTTATACCATTTGAAATATTTCTTTGTTTTTCCAGAAGCTTATCATCGTTTCTTTATTCATTTTTTTAACTCTTCATGCTGAAAACAATATACTAATGCAGATTTTCTACGAGGAACTTTGATTCAAAAGACAGATAAATTAAATCAGCTCAGATAATTGATTTTAATAAAATTTTAATAATCAGCTTTGCCACAAGAAACACCCTCATGTACATTCTTAAAATCTGATGAAGATTGTCTTCCATATCTGCAGACTGTTTTATTTGTAAATCACTCTAAACCTTCAATAGCTCAATCTTTTGTCATACTAAAATCGTTAATAAATAATTGTTGCAAAAAAAAGTTTTATTTACCTAATTCTAAGCCAGTTTAAAATAAAAAAATTAAAAAACTAGTTGCTTGTTGTCAGTACATTCATAAAATTACAATCATAGTCAAGCTGTCATTTACAATCTTGAATTATTTATTGGTATAATTCTTGGAGGAAACTAAAGTTAAAATAGGCCTACTGGCCTACAACTTTATTTTGTATATCATAGGTATATATGTTGTTCAAAGATTTATTGCGGACATTTTCCATCACAATTGTAAAAAAAAAACATCTGAAACATCGGAAAATGTCCACAATAAACCTTTGAACAACATTAACTCACCATCACCAACAGAACTTCAAACAAAGAATAGGTATCTATATGTGACAGTTTTATATTTGGCAATCAGTTAACTTGATAGTTGATACCAAAAGATAACTTCATTAAATTGACTTGAAAGTTTGGATTGTCAAATGAGTAAATACTTTATTCTCAATGGCCCTTAGTGTTTCAATTTGTGACCTTAAAATAGTAAACAAATTGGAATGTTTTTTATGTTTTCTAATTCTGCAGTGAGATGTTAAACCACCATTACACTGGTGCTGCAAACCCATATGGTTTAAACAACAGTTTCAAACAATTCATCCAAAGAACACCATTTTTGTATGTCAATTATTTTAAATAGTTTTTTAATGTTAACAACAGGCATGTTTTTTACACTAAGTTGAAAACATATGTTTGCAGCATTTGTTTTACACCTAAATTTACAAAAGAAATGTGTACAATATTTTTGGCAACAATTGTCAATAAAAGTTTTTAACAACTTGTTATAAACTCCAATGTAATATAAACCCAGTTAAAGATCTAATAATATTTTCAATTAAAGCTTCAGCACTATTCGCCACACATTATTATTTTTCACTTACACCAGTTTGTGTCGTAGGACAGTACAGTATCTTCGGGCATGCAGTCCTAGGCGGAGAGAAGTTTGAATGTTCGTCTTGTCATCGAACCTACGCCTACAAGAAGAATCTTCTGCAACATCAGCGTTTGTCTTGCGGAAAACCACCACAATTCCCTTGTCCTCTTTGTCCTTACAGAGCCACTCAAAAAGTCTGCCTCAAGAAACATTTGATGTTTAAACACGATGGCGCACGAATGAAAACTGGATAACTGATGTTATTTTTAGCTTGAAAATTATCAATTAATTACTTGTTTAACGACTGATACACAAGATGTTTGTGTCTTACGTTTGATATATTTTATGTCTAAATTAAAATATGTTTTGGGGTTTTTAGGTTTGTGATTTTAGAAATTTTTAGGGTTTATTCCTGTTTGAAATAAATCTTATTTTACTTCGGTTACTGGTTACTGCTTCTTTAAATATCCTATTCCTAACAGTTCCTTTTTTTTCTTAGTTGCCTACACCAGTACATAGTTATATTTTAATTGCCTGGGTAGCCAAGTGGTAATGGTCCTCCTCAAATCTAAAGGGGTATTATTTGGTTTTAAGTGCAGTTACCATAGAGCCAGGATGGCGTTTGGGGGAGCAAGCTGGTCTAGTGGCTCCAGATCCCATTCATTGGGCCATCAATTAATAAATCTACCCAACAAAAAGGTTGACATTGACATTAGATAAAATAAAGACCAGGGTTCTGACTATTCCTTTGGAAAAATATGATAAAATACGAAAGATAAAGAGATATGGGCAAAACAAAATGAAAATTTCACAACAATTGAGCACAATCTCCCGCAAAATAGAGTGTATTCAGCGTTTCCTACCAGTGGCGGATCCAGCGACCGCCCCCCCCCCTCGGGCATGTATATACATATATTTTTTACTGCATGTAATACAGTAGTGCATACAAATTGGGTAAAATAATTTGTCCTAACTTTGGGTAAAGAATTGTATAAAACTGCCATTTTGGAGACTAGATTACATTAATTTTTCGTGGGGGGGGGGGGTAACCCCAGACCCCCTGGTTCGCCCCCCTTATGACTGTTTTAGATCCGCCATTGTTTCCTACTAGGTGTTGGTCTGGTACGCAAAATTATTATCTAATGCATGTTATATAACTAACTTGACCTTGTCCGCAGCCGAATGTCACAAGTGTACATGGTGTCAGCGAGTGTATCAGCACAAACACAACTTGATTCAGCATCTTCAGCACTACTGCGGCAAAGGAGCTCAGTTTCCGTGTCCTCATTGCTCTTACAAGGCTACTCAGAAAGGGTCGCTAAAACGCCACCTGTGTTTGAAGCATAATCAATTGATGACTGACGGTTAGGAATTGTGTGACCATTTTGGTAGCAGATAGATTTTGATTTAATATGCAGCAATTAGCAACTTTCTGTGCTATAATCAGTGCAAGAAAGGCCACTTTGTCAGGTGACTATAGGAAAAACTATTTCATTGAAGAATCAAGTTGTATATCATTAAACTTATAGAAGGAATAATAATTTGTTTATCCTTTCTAAATAAATTTACTTGTGTGGAAGTGTAACTTTTTTACAGTTGTCCTAATTGCAAATCCTTGTTTGAGAGTATTACAGTAATACATTCATCCTTCTCTCATATTTAATTTGTATTTGAGTTAGAATAGCCTTAGTTGTATCCCGTCTCACATTAGTGAATAAGAAGTACATTTTATTATTGAAAAACTTTCACAAACCATTTTTTTATGTGTTATATTGATATCTGAAAAAAAAATTATTGTCCGTATTATACTAGTGGGTTATATAGTTATGTTTGTGGATATAGTTATACATATATTTTAAGATATTCATTGACACAATTACTGTCACAATTTTATAGTTAAAACATAATTAGGAAGTACTCAACCTGTTATATCTGCAGGTGTAACTTTTGAAGTGCTCCAAGACAAAAGCGGAAGCAACAGTCAATACCAGTGTCTTGCGTGTACACGTATCTACCTGCACAAGGAGAATCTCATAGACCACCAGAGGTTTGAGTGTGTCAAAGGCCTATACAAGTGGCACAGCTCCATGTCAACATGATCAAAGGCTTGTAAATAAAAACTGTTAATACATCAACTGAAGTATATTTTGATGTAGTTTCCTTAGAAGAGGTTTGTAAATGGTTATGATACCTGTGTTTGGTCAGGTGATTCTGTTATTTCCTTTGGACAAGTTCTGGTTACTAACATAAAGGTTTTCAAATTGCTCACTAAATTTTAAATCCTCTTACCATATTTTACTCAAAGACATAATGGTTTGTTATGACTTACACAAACACATAATAATGAGTTATGGTTACATAATAAGGAGTAACCGTGTCACTTGTGTTTGTATTCGTCTGTATATTTTATGACTCTTCCAATCTACAGGTATTACAGACATGTTCATTTGAATTGAGGAGAACGTTTAGCACTCAATTAGAAGTAATCATTCAACACTGAGATCAGAAATTTACGTGAACCTTCACGACACAATTAGAGATATGTTGACCCAATTTATATACATTTTTCAGACAACTCTAATAATCTTACTGTATAAGAACTCTTATTAATTGTCCCCTCCTGTTTTCAACATTTCTTCTTTCAAATTGAGGCATTTTCGGTTCTTTCAAACTTTCTTTCACTAGAAACGTAACAAAATTTTTTTGAAATAACAATCTTTTAAACCCCTTTTTTGCAGAATTTAAATACACAGAACTGATAACGCCAGACGGTCTGAAGTTTCAATGTCTCCTTTGTGACCGAACCTACAGTTACCTCTACAACCTGCGTCAACACCAAAGATACGTTTGCGGAAAAGAGCCTTCGTTTGTCTGCAGCTTCTGCCAAAGAAGATTTGCAGAAAAGAACAACTTAACAAAGCACATCAGAAATGTCCACGTTCAGAAAAGGGGTTGTTAGAGAATATTATTCATTATACCAAAGTATAGTTTTCTGAATACAGTTTTGTAAAATTTATTATGTTAATTTGATTTCTACCTTTTTTCAAATAAGAGGTTGGCGGCCTCTTTTAACCTATTCGTTTGGGCCTCAAGGCCTGTGCGTGGAAGGTATCCAGCAAAGTAAGGGGTGAGCCAGTTAAGCACAAGAATGAACTATACATGAAACTTTTAGTGGTTTTACCTGAACATGAATTTAAGACATCGCTGCCATCGTTTTATAATCTGTTGCACCCACCCACTGAGATTTGGACTCACCTGATGCTTTATTATTGGTCTACTTGATTAAATCAGCAATGGTAGTATAGGTAATGGTTATAAGAGTGCCTGAGATGTTTTTTAATGGTAGTCTTTTATAAATCATTATATTTTTCATTTTATTAAACTTTCTAGGCCTTGTTTTTTTCTATAGTGTTATATTTATATATTGTTTTCTTGAGCTAGAAGTTTGTGTACTACCATGCGTACGTTTTGCCAGCTTATGTGGCAACTATCGTCACTGGTCAAACACCATAAATTCCAACACCACCAGTCCAAGAAATGAAACGAAGGAAGAAAGAACTTCTGCCAACATGATGATGCCATTGTCACGTTCTTCGCTTTATTACCTGATTGTAATATCAGTGAAGGTGTATGTAGGTTACACAACCTTCTATCTCAAGAACGCACTCAACAAAAATAAGGTCACTTAATTTAGTGTAATACTTACCTATAGAGAAATTAACAAATTAAATTTCTGAGATAAGTTGGTATTAAGTTATTCAACATAGAGCAACACACAATTGAGAGTTTTATATAGAAAAGATTTTAAAATACATTTCTAATAGGTACATTATTTGGTATACCTTTGGCTCTAGAGTTAGCTGGATTATGGGTGTTAAAAGAGCTTACGTTGTATTCTGAAGGTAGTTGGTTCAATTTCAACTGTTATTATAAGTTTGAAAATTTCCTGTTTTGAGCTACTCTAGTCTCTAAAGAATGCTGGAACTCCTATCGCCCATCTTTAACTGCCCAACCTGGATGGTTTGTGGTTAATGGTTAGTAGTAAATTAACTAGTTATTGAAGACGTACCATAAAGACATTAGGATTATGAGAAAATATATTTAATGCTGACAACTTTTTAAATCTGTTTTATTAAAGTAATTTTAGTATTTTAACACAATGAAGAATATTCATAAAAAAATTTTAAAAGAAAGGAAAACTAATTAACTGCAAAAATATAGTCTAAATATAAAATATAAATAACTTCCAAAGACGAATTACCATAAACCAGTTGGATGACTTTACAAGATAAGTAATCACTTTTCCAGAACAAACAATCACCAAAAGCCTCTTTTCAGAATTTGCCTACACAGAACTGACGACATCTCTTGGTCCGAAATTTCAATGTCTTCTGTGTGAGCGAACCTATCGTTACCTCCGAAACCTGAAGCAACACCAAAGATATGTTTGTGGAAAAGAGCCTTCGTTTGTCTGTGGCTTCTGCCAAAGAAGATTTTCGGAAAAGAACAACTTAACCAAGCATCTCAGGAATGTCCACGGACAAGTCATTGTTCTAAACCAAAGAATAGCTGTTTAAATAAATGTTTGTGATATTTGTATAGTATTTGTATAGTATTTATTTTTTCCTTGTTTAAATAAGAGTTTGACAACCTGCCATTTAGCCTGTGCGTTGAACTTATCAAGCAAAGTTTATAGGTGTATATTTTGTCAATTTCTTTGTGCGTGTATGAACTTTTATTTTAGTTGTGTGACAATGCTTGTGAAAAACTTGCTTACATTGAATTTTCAATAAATAGCGATTTTACAATTTTCATTTAACCATAAAAGTTTTAATATTTCAAGATCCATCTAGTCAATCTAGCTTACCAAACATAGTTAATTGTAGCTCAGTGGTATAATCTACTGCTGATTAGTTATAGCTTGTAACGGTTGCCGGTTCAAGACCAGCTTTTTGCACTATAATCTCTGCAGTTACGGTCCCTATGCTGTACTTGACTGAATCATTGCACATATCAGTATAGTCTTTAATAGTTGCGGTCTTTTTTCATCAAGAAAAAAATATTACAAGGAGATAAAATTTGCATTTTTTAGCAACTTACATTATTACCAACGTTTGGTTCCTCCAAGCTATTATAATCAGTTAAAAATTTTTCTTTTCTTCTAACTATGCTTGGACTTTTCGACTAATCCTTTTTTCAGCTTCCAAACAACTATATTTCATCTAACTGAGAAAACCTGCTTTTTATCTTTAGACCCTAAAGCCGTGTTTACACGAGGCAGTAGAGCAGGCAGGTTCCGGGTCAGGATGAAATGAAATGAGATCAACTTTATTCATAATTTGCAAACATGTGCACGAATGGTGTCATTACATTGGATCAAAATCATAATGCCTAATCCTAAAAAAGTACAAGATATAATCACTATTGAAGATGTTCTTATTCTAATATATTATGTAAAAGGAAATATTCATTCCTTGAGTAAAGGGTAGAGTTAAAAAGTACATTTTTAGATTTTAGGATACTTGCCTAATTTATTTCAAGTTATCTGTAGCAAGTAGCCTGTCAGCCAACTGGCCGTGTATAAATGCGGCTTAAGCATGGGTTTTGTAACTAAAACTCTATAGAAAAATGTGTCACAAAGACACAAATTAGAGAATTAATTTCACTTAAAAGGTATTAAATAGAGATTTTAAAAAATTATATAAATTGATATGCAGTAAACCCTAATTAAATTGAGAGTGATTGGGATCCGCAAAACTATGATATTTTTACAAATAAAACGGCAATTTGTATTAACCATAATCTGGATTAAGGGTTAACTGTAATTTAAGAAAACTTAGATCACGGCAATTAGGGTGGCATGTAGGGTAAGGAAAAAGCTTCCAAAGGCACTAAGAGTCACACCATTAATTGTATTAAATTAATCCAACGGTAATCACTTAATGTTTATTACTGTACAAAATATTAACAAAATCAACGGTAGAAGGGGAAGGGTTTCTTGTATGCATGCGCATCCTTCTTGCCAATCTAATTAACAATGTCTACAGTATAATAGTTATATACTTGAGATTCACAGTGCTGCCAGAGTTTTGAGTTGTGCATTTTGGAAATGCCAAAGTCTTTTTACATCCTTTTTTCCCACAGTTAATCAATTACTGTTTATAACAGGATCTTACACTCAGGAAGAGTTTCAGTGTGAGAACTGCGAGAAGGTTTACAAACACAAGCAAAACTTGAGAAAACATCAGAGGTACCAGTGTGGAGACAAGTGGCCTTTCGGTTGTTCCTTCTGTGACTTCAGGACTAAGCACAAATGCAGTCTTCAGCTTCATATGAAGAAACATCCAGAGGCTCATGGCAGATAGTCAGGGTTCTGAGTGACAAATGTCTCAAGATGAAATTTTAGTTTGGTTTTTACTTTTTTCCAAGGTTTTACATCAATAGGTGGATTATTACAGTGGTGTTTGTCATTAGTTTGTAATTTTGATAATATTTTGTTAAATAAACATTTTCTTGGTTTAGTTTTAACACAATTTACAATTTAGCTTTTTTAAGCCTTAAAATTAAAACAAATAATTTGAATACAACCTGTTTATATATTTGAGATCGGTCTTAAGTTATAAGTAGTAAAAAAACATTATTTACCTAATTACTATAAGTAGTAAAAAGACATTATTTACATTATTACAGTTTGTATACAATCCGATAATAATTTAAATAAAGGTTTTTAATTTGATTGTGCAAGCTTATTCTTTTTACATGACTCCTGAATCATATCACTTAAAAAACATTGTGACAACTAGCCCTTGACAAAAAACACATATAGAAAAGGCATAATTTGTTTATTATTTATAATTATTAATATTCCAACCAATTCTTAGTAATAAATTTGTATTTAACCAATTATACATACCTACTACAAGATAACTGACATGTATTTGTATTTACAATGCAATAATTGATTACTTAATTGTCTTTGATGATATTTTTTATGTCTTTTCCAGTAAATTTTAATTATGTATGACAAAAATCACAAAAAAAGCTTCATAAGTGAATTGAACACAAAATATTTAAGTGCAGCATTCCACTACTTTTTATGAATAAAAACAATACACATACTTTCTCATATTTGTATCATCCTTTTATATAAGTTATGAATGCGATTTTAAAGTATGTTTATAAAAAATCTTCTTGAAGTATGTTTCCCTATAGGTAGTTAATAGACAGTTTTTTGTTTACTACTATTTCTTGTTATTTACCATGTAAAACTATTTAAACTAAATACCAGTATATAGAGAACTATTTCATCCTCTGAAAATAAATCAAAAATTTGAACACAAATTGTAGAATTTACTCTAAAAATAAGAAAGAAAAGTTCAGTCGGCATACCGCATCAGCATACAGGATTTTAAACCAACTGAAACACATGAAATATATTAGCCTTACTATTGTTGACTTAAAATAGTGTAGTAGACTCTTCGTCCAATTTATAATATTTATGCATGTTTTTAACTTGCATTATATTGGATTTATGTAAATGATCAATTTACAAGGAATTTTTGTAAACACTTTTGATTTAGGGCCTACTATAGTGTAAGTATTTGTCATATTCAAAATCAATATTGATATTAACATATAATTTTTCCACAGTCCGAGCTCTGACGAGGCGTCTGCCAGTTACAGATGGTAAATACAAATGTCCGTCTTGCAAGAAGGCGTACAAACACAAGTTCATTCTGAACCGTCACATTCGTTATGAGTGCGGCAACCTGCGTCCCTTCGCTTGTACGATGTGTCCGTACAGTGCTAAACAGAAGAACACGCTGAAGGCTCACATGTTCAACAAACACAATTCCGTGGTTGAGGACAAGGATGTCAACCCTACAGTAACGCTCAATGAGAGTTTCATGAGAGTTTTCATGATGTAGTGTGTGATTTACAAATAAATGTGTACTTTGTAAAGTATGTGTTCACCAATGTTAAACCCTTTGACTTTAGAGTGGTGTTTTTAATTATACCATGGTTTTGTGAATTTATTTGAAATGGTCATAGTTAAGCCTTGCTTAGACCAAAGTGTGGGACAAAATGTTTAAAACAGGTGTTCTAAAAAAAAGCCCTTGTCATCGAAGAGATTAATTGTAAGATTAATTGTTATAGATTTTAACAATTTTTCCCACACAGACATTTTTGAAAACCATTCTTATTGGACATACTGTAGGTAACTATACTCATTGATTTTGAATAATGCAAGTATAGACTTCTCCTGCTGTTTCTAAACTCTCAAGTCTAGTTTTGTGTGTTTGATGTCGGTAACGATTAAATGTGTTGATTTTCACTTAATGTTATCCCTCATATTTTATGGAGGATTTAACAGTATGTCTAAGACAATTTCTGGATATTAATACACCCTCAGCCGCTCTATGACAGGAACAAATAATGATAAGAATAACATAGAAGCACTTCTTAATTCAGCTTTCATTTTTAATACTTTGTACCAAACCATTAGCCTTTTTTTTAAACGATGTAGTAAGATAAAAACAAAATCCGTTTTTTGTGTGAATCTAAAAATAGCAATTTAATTTTCTGGGGTTTTACAATTAAGGAGATAACAATATCCATAAAAAAATTAAAAACATTAATAAAGTTAAAATATTAATGAACTAAATTATATTGTTAGTTGTTTTCACAGGTATCTTTCTCCTAGATGTTAGTGAAGATGGGAAGTACAGATGCCTGACTTGTAACAAGGTTTACAAACACAAGTTTATACTTTCAAGACATATGAAGTACGAATGTGGAAATCTCCGACTCTTCTGCTGTACTCTTTGTGACTACAAGGCTAAACAAAAGCAAAACCTCAAATCTCACATGCACTCTAAACACCATCTAGTTTTGTAGACAAGTTATATATGATAATTAAAATGTATAATATATGAGTTTGGACGTGGATTCTTTATCCTTAGTAAATTATATCCTAAATTTTTAGGTGAGTAGGTGGCTCAGTAGTGCCATGGACCACAAACTCCCAAACTTCCAAGGCAGCTGTATTTCTGGGGTGAGCCCTGATTACTCGTATATGAGTACAGTTAGTACATTCTTGTACTATACTAGCTCACCCCTTGCTTTCCTTGATTTGTTCCTAGAACAGGGCTTTGTCGTAAATACACATCCAAATACAATTTTAGACAATTTTGAGACAATCAAACCGCTTTGAAGGATTTTAATCCTATCAATTTATTGTTCATCTTTATTTGATTTGTAACTAAGTATTCACTGGTTTTTTATTATTATTATTAATACCAATTGAGATGATATTTCCTAGGTGCCCATGAAGTGTAACGATCTAGCAGCTTTGTTACTAAGATCAGGTGTTTCATTAGCAAGGATAATCTATTTATAACCCATTATCAGGAACAGCTGGGTCCAGTTTTGAACGTTCAAAAAGCTACTGCGACTGTTTTCAGGATCGAACCGGCATGTTTTTGATTGTTTAGGCGAGCGTTATAACTACTCAGCTACCCAGTTAGTTTATTTTGTAAACCTAATAACAATTTCTTTTCAAATTTTCTCTCTTAAACACAAATTCTTTTACACAAATATAGCCATTGTTAGGGAGCATAGTTAAACGAGCCACTATAGAATGTGTTCTGTTTCTGTTCTGTTTGGCATGTTCACTTATAGTTACCACGATTGTTGATGTAGTTATAAAATATACTTCTGTCAGTGTTTCACATAACAATATAAATCAATGTTGGTTTATGAAATCACCTGTTTTATAGCAGCATACTCAGTGGATCAATAATTGAACTAGGTTATTTCTCATTCTGAAGCAACTGGCTGCTTTAAAACCAATTATATCAATAATTTAAGATGGGGCGCCACTATGTGCATATTTTAACCCAAATGTGAGAAAAGGGATGAGTGTAGGACCAAAAATTAAATGTCCTCTTCACCGTAATTAATCTGTTAACTGTTGTAGGTTCCTGTTAATTTTTTTTCTATTTAATTCATTTTCATGTTTACAAAGATTTCCCACAATTAATTAACATTGTGCGTTGTAGGCTACAGGCTTCTTCTGCTTGAAAGTGGACAAAAATTCCAATGTCTTCAATGTAGCAAGGTTTACCAGCATAAGTTCAATCTGAACAAACATCAGAAGTACGAGTGCCAGAATCGCAGATTGTTCAGTTGCCAGCACTGTAGTTACTCGGCTAAACAGAAAGTGCATCTGCAAAGACATGTGGCAACCCTGCACAGAAATATTCTTGATGTGACGCATGTTTTAAATTGATTTTTATGTTTTATAAACTCAAAATAAAATTCTATAACAAATGATGTCTTTTGACTTTATTGAAACCATTTGTTACCAAATAGTACTTAAGATGACCAAGTGTATAACTTAAAAATATAATAATCCCTTTCTTTATTCAAACTTCTAGTTATATTACTTATTTTTAATTAGCCTCCATTGTTAAGTAATTTAAGGATGTACTAGACCAGACCGTGTTATTAAAAATGCGAGACAGCAAAGCACATCCTAATGGAGCTTCAACAATTATATTTTTGGATGTATCAAAGATCTGAAGGATTTGGAGGATTATAAGAAAAATCAAACATTAAATTAAGTTGCCATGTTTTGGCTGTGGGAAGCTGGTACATAATCCTGTTTTTGGGTTGGGGGAAGTAGAGGAAAAGGAAAAGTTTGGTTCCTTCCATGGAGAACTTATATCAGAATAAAGAGTATAGATCTGTAGAGTTGTTTTTTATCCTCTAGGTTTATAGCCCGGAATTCTTTTCCACATTACTTCTGGCTAGGTCTTGAGGGGGTTGCAGCATTATCACTTGGATAAAATCCATTGGGGATTGGCGGGATTTAAACCCAGGGAGGATAAACTCAGGACTTGAACTTCGGACTCCAACGTTTCTACCACTAGACCAGCTCGCTCCCCAGATATATTCAGTACATGTGTCAAAATTAACTACGATAGCCGCTGTGGTTTATTCTCACTAAAGCAATGTCATATTTAATATTTTGATTTATCATTCTTACTCATGTTTTGAGGAACTTAAAATCTACGAGTATATTGATGATTTTTTTTATTGGGCACAGTTTACTTCAAGAGACCTACTTTAAAACAACAATTTTGTGAATTTACATTTTGATCTCATTTTGAAGGCAGACCTTTTTTATGTCTAACTTTTAAGGTTGTGCTACTTACTAACGACATTGAGATATAGATTATAACTGGAGTCACTACTCTCTGGTTAAACGTTAGAGAAAAACGTGCCACTGTTTTGGCTGGTTTGTTTTTGGTGTTTCGTGTTGTTAGGTTGGCCGTGTGATCGGTTGGTGGGATGCTATCAAATAATTCCAATTCATTCAAACCTAACCATACTATTTATTTGGGGTTATGTTATCCGTTATTTCAGGGACTTGTATCAAAAACTTATTTAAGTTATTGCACGTTAAAACCGCTGTATTTAAAGTTATTTTGAAACATTATAAATTGTTTTTGTTTGATGGTAAATAAATACTAACTTATTTACCTCTTTTAAAGCTATGTGGTGAAAATAGGCTAGTCAAGTTTCCTGGTTTGGAGATATTGGTTTAGGCCAATAGCCTTATAGCATTTGATTAAATAACGACCATCAGTTTATGATCTTGTTAAAATGGGTTGCTCTTGCTCGTAAAATAGACAAATACACTTATATTGCAATCATAATGTTGAGTTGGCAGATTTTTGTTTACTATCATCAACAAAACAGGATGACGCCATCTTGATTTTGCCTCTCTAATTTGACAAGTCCCACCAACCCGATCACCCGGCCAACCTAACAAAACGAAACTCTGAAACAAAACCAGCAAAAACAGTGGTACGTTTTTAAAACACAGAGTGGTTACTCCAGTTATATTATTATAGCTCAGTGACTAAAGATGTCTTCACGTAACAGCCGATCTCCGTTTTGAACATGTGTAGATGTAAGTGTCATCTTTTAAGTAGTCTTCCTCTATTCCCAAGAAGTAAAACAAATAATATGTGCGCATCCTGCTTTACCAAACATAGCATCGTTCATTTACTGTAAACATTAAAATTAGTCTTTTCCTTTACTAATTGCATGATGTTAATGAAACCTCAAATGTTACTAATTTTCAACTGACAAGAACATAAGTTGGCATCATTTCCACATAGTGAATTTTTGGACTTCAATATAATAGTAATTGACTAAGCTTTGCTTAATGTAAATTATTTTCCCCACACAAAATTAAATATTTTATTAATTTTTCACTCAATGTATTACTGAAACAGAGTCTATATTTCCGATTCAAAAGTTGTTTATGAAAAAAAAACATTCAATATAATATAGTTATATATCTATATATATAACAATGATTGAGATTTACAGGTAGTAGTCGGTAGTCTAAGGAATTAATTTCATTACATCTTAAAAGAAGCTCTGGTCTGAGACTAGTTAAGCGTTTAGTGTCTTAGACTAGTAAGACTTCGGTGTGAACCATCGACATATAAAACTAACTGGATTGCGCGCAGGCCGTAAGGGTCGTGTAGAACTTTCCGAGCCAATACAGGAGTGTATCGGGGTTGCCGCATGAGCAAATTGAAGGCAGCATGTGGGATATAGCGCGCGAAACCGTGTCTTCGACACTTGACCTTGGGCGCACGTGCGTGTTACAAAAACCTCCCTCAAAAACTATTTTGTTAGCATGTAGAACCTTTGCTGGTAACGTTTTTCTTAATCATAAAGGTAATAATGAATTTGGCGAGGAAAGCCATGACATGAAATTAATCAAATTAATTGGTATTATGTTTAACAAAATTATATGCCACAGCATTTCTAAGCGTAAAACAGCAGAAGCTTCTCTGTCAAAGCTTGGTATGCGGCAGAAATTAAATAAGCTTATTCTTTTTAGCAATGTTTAGGCTAAATATGTTTCTTTGTTTTACAAAGTTTCCTAAATAAAATGTTCTTATACAATCTAACCTCGTTCTTACTAATACCTAATACCTTACCCCAGAATATTTGGTATTTTACGAGAAACTGATAAAACCCATTTTAACATAAACTATTTTGTATTGTAACATTGAAACATAATTGGTTTCGTTAGAGTAGTAAGTGAAGAAAGAACAAAGTCGTAAAGGTTTCTTAATTGTAATATTTTATTACTTTTACCAGCTGTGTGCCCGTTTTACGCACGGGGCTCTTATAGTAGTCAGTTGAAACCTTCTTATATTAAGAACAGCAGTTGGTTTGCATATTTTCAGATTATGGCAAAACTATTACCTAATAAACCTTCGCAAATACAGTATCTGACAGTTTCAAGCCAAAACAAATGCTTCGCAATTAAATGTCACGCGGCTCGTGTTGGTCCATATGTTAAATCCAATGATTAAACTAAAAAGAGCTTTATAGGCCTAGATCTATGAGGCATATCACTTAGGCAAGTCTATAGTTGAAAGTTAGTTCCACAATGGCTAAAAGTATTTAAAGTATTGCCTCAACCTCACCATTTAACACTTTATTCGGGTTGACATTTTCATTACCTTTTTTTCGTGACATTGAGAAAAAGGACACTAATGCGTTAGCAATAGACATACACACAAAAATACAGAACTTAATTAAGGAATTTGCAACGCTTCAAGCATAACAAGTACATATAAAATTAGTATTTGAAATCTTTCTCAAAATCATACAATTTTATCATAACAATTTATATTTGCTTAGACCGAAGATGACCCGAAATGCTGTCAAAATGACGGCTTACAATATGAAATGAAGTACTATTAGACGATTTAGATTGGTAATTTATAATACAAATTACCAAAATAGGCCACGAACTATTGATACATGAACAACGTAAATCGTAACGATTCATGATGGTTTGCTGAACAAATGTTTTACTAAAATGAGTTATCATTGTCTTAGCATAAACGAACATTTTGGAATCCAGACAGAAAAAGCAAAACTTATACAGTTAAGACATCAATTAAATTGAATACGGCTGTAATAAGGTGCAACACCAACTATAACTTATTTGTATCTAATCTATATTTATATAGATTCCATCATAAAAAATTAAAATCGGAATTTAAATTATATTTGTTAAGGAACCTCAGTGTGAAATATCCACCGTCAGTTAATATTTATTAATTGTTGTAATTATTAACTAAAAAAACTCGGTTATTTACAGGGTTATTTTTACACTTTTATTACTAGTACAAAAGTTCATGTAAATTGATTATTAAAATGCCTTACATCGTTTTAGTAGAGAGTAAAGGGCTGGATAAAGTGCATCGTCCTGGCCGCGACAATGCTAAGATGTGGCGCAGCGAGACGCTTAATCCCACATGACGCCTGCAAAATCTAAAACGCAACCCCGGTCGTTGGCTCGGGTCGCGGAGCCTAGCAGCCGATCCAGTTAGTTTTATATGTCGATGGTGTGAACAGGCTCAATCCCCAGTAGGATGCACGGAAATTTGAAAAGTTTGGATAAAAAGACACCAACGCAAGTATTTCTGATGTAGTAGTTTAGATTCAGCTCAAGCCAAAAATGTGTTTACTGACATAGATTTTGAGTTACAGAATAGCCGATTGCATTATTTTTCTTTAACCCAGAACAGCTGATCGTACTATTTTCCTTAAATCCAATAACCTTAAATTTTAGAGTTTTTGATGGTTAGGAGGTTTTAAGGTTAATTTTAGTAAACCTTAAATTGTTCCAATTTTTTCATTTTTGTATCACAAGTATCAATTAACTTTACTATAATTTACTTTTTACTGTAATTAACTTTAAAATACAAAACCTTACTTTCAGGGGGGATATATTATCAACCATATTCCTGTATCTTACAAAAGTATGGAAATGGTGCCACTTCTAAATTAGCTTTTACATTGACAATGAGATATGACCAGAGTTAAACATTTACAATGTTTTTGTGTCCAGGTATGTCTCTGGGGCCTAAATTAGAATGTCCGTCGTGCAAGAAGCTCTACAAGAATAAAATTACGCTAACAAGACATATGAGATACGAGTGTGGTGATAGACGACCTTTCGCTTGTCCTTTGTGTGAATACAGGACCAAGCAGAAGTTTCAGATCAAACTACACATTGTCAAGAAACACAAGGAATTGTTGGAAAGTGCAGAGCCCAGTGTGCAGTTTGGGTGAAAATCAGTTTGAGGGAAAGTGCAGGAAGACATCAAATTGGAGGATTGTTTAGGGCCAAGAATAGTTACTTGTAAAATTAGTGTGCGAAGTGGCACTTTGCTGCACATGAGAGAAATGTAAACGCACAAGCCGCAGGCGAGTGTGAAAAGTTTCTTGAGTGCAGCAAAGGTACTTTAGTTTACTTGGTAATTTCCATTGGTAAACTTAAAACTGTAGAAAATGCAAACAGACCACTTCTTATCCCATGACAATATCATTGAGTATCTTGATCATGGCTTTCAGTCATATTTTGTAGTTCTTAAAAGGATTAAACGTATTCCTATGTTGTATCTCTGTGTTCCCAACAATCTGTACCAACTGCTATGTTTTTTTAGTTATTTTCAATCATATGTTATTATCATTGTTCTAATGTGTTTAAAATAATGTAAATAAACCAGAGATACAATTAGGCTCATGTTAACTTGTATTTATTCAACTACAGTATTTTTAATATTCGTTTAATACATAATAGAAACTTTGGTACGTTCCATAGACAGTTGGAAGTTCGGAAAAGTTATCTTTTAACTTGGAGCTCTGCACTACAAAGTCAAACTGGACAATGGTTACATTGGCAAGAGAGAAATCGATCGATTGAAGAGAACATCAGTGCCAGAAACACCAGACAGCACACACTCCAGCTCATCTCCTATAAAAGAAAATACCAGTTCTCAACAATGGGACGTGACATTTAAGGATAATGATCTGGAAAATGCAGAAATCAGCCTTCAACCCAGAGAAGATATTAATACTCAATCAGGTGACAAACAAAAGCATAGCAGTTGGTACAGATTGTAGGGAACACAGAGATACAACACACTGCAGTTAAGGTTAATAACCGTATGTGGTTCGAGATGTCTTTTAGGTTAATACTATCTCAGGGAATAACAAACATGACATTGTAAATTAGTCAGTAATATTAACAGTATTATTTATGTAAGTGTATAATGAGTATTTTAAGTAGATATTAGCTGATAATTTATAATTTAGTTACTAACTATTTGGAATGAATTTATTTAGAGGTAATTGTCTGAAATTTAACGTAGGCCTATTCACAGCTGTTCGAAACAGCTGTATTCCAAGCAATATATTGTAACTTCTTTAAATCTTCCCAAACCATGCAATCCTAATTACACAAGAAGGAAATTTCTACGACACACTACTCCTCTGTTAATAACGAACAGGTTTTTACAAGATGTGTCAAAATTTAGTATTTTTTGTGTAGACCAATTAAACCAATTCCTGTAATAGAAGTCCTCGGGCTTTGCCCCACAGGCCATCAAATCCCAATATTTTTCTTATGATGAACAGATTTTGTTCACTTAAACAGACAAATAATTTGTACTATTACAGCTGTTCATAGTAAAAACACATGATACACACAAGAGGTTTGTTTTCAGAGTGAGTTTTCAGTTTCAATAACTGGAGTGGAGTGAGCGTTCGCTTTCAGAGTGAGTTTGTTTTCAGTTTCTATGACTGGAGTGGAGTGATTGATTACGCTATCTTTGAGTTGACTCTTTTAAGTCATCGGAAATTATGACAATCTACATAATTATGTAATACCTTGCAATTGCTCGAATTCGAGCACCAGGTGCACTAGTATACTTTATTAACTGTACTTTGTTCCCAAAATTTAGGCGGGTTGAGGGGACGTGTTGTCATCCCCTCCACCTCACCCTACCATTGAAACAACTGACAGCCGCTGATATATACATTAATAAAAAAAAAATGGCGAGGGAACTCAGAAAACCTTCCCCTTAAACCACCTAAATTTTCTGAATGGAGTATAATTGTAATGATTTGTATTAAGTATTCATTACTGAGCCTACAATTCTGTTTTCAACAATATACTTGAGGTTTGAATTATTATGAAATCCACCACAGACATTTTTGTATCAAGATGTGATTCTCATTGCTAAAACCTAGTATAATTATTTAGGTACCTTACCTCTTTATGTACTGTTTCAAGAAGTGTTGGGGTAACTATAATAAATTGTGCTTAAAAAACTAAAACTAGCAAGAACAAAGTTAATTGTGTACAGATATCACTAGAATATTTCTGTAAATCAATACACATTAAAACAAAAACATACCGTACTTTATAATCAAATTGTAAATCAGTTACACTTTGGTGTCAATAGTCAATACCAATATCGGAGAGTTTTAATTTGAATTTTATTTCTGTAATAAACTTGTACAACATAGGCTATAATTTGGAATATATTTGGTGCCATGTAGATTATGATTTAACTACTAATTTAAGATATGTAAATAAAAGTAAATTAATGCTTTTGCTCCTATGAATAGTATTTTTTATCCTGGTCCTCTATTAGCTATTGTATCATTGAGAATGTCCTATGGTCCAACCATATTAAGGCCACCGGTCGCAAGTCTTAGCTAACTCCAATGAATTGACATGTATTTTCAAATACCGTAATTTATAACAAAAAACTATATTTCCTAGATTTTTTTGTTTCTATAGTAAAAAATTATATGACAATATTACTTTAATACTTACTAACATTATAAAATCGCCAGGTCTCTCTGTTCACATTTATACTAACCTGAAAAATTTCTCTGTCACACCCATATCATAACGACTTCTCAATATCCTCATAAAATTTGTTTTAGTATAAGTAATCTCTGAATCTTTGACTGTCTCGGTAGAGATAATTCAGAACAACGTTTTAAGGATGAAAATACCCAAAAAGGCTACTTTAGACTTTAACCATAGTAAGTAGAATATCCCACCCATGATAAAGACTCTGCCAGTAACAACATTGTAAAATTGTATGTACCTAAAGATTTCCTCGCACGTGCGTGTGCACAAGAGGATGTAAAATATTTAGAATGATGTTGCATGAAATAAAAGTTTTTGAATTGAATTGAATAAAGTAATTACAGGTTTTTTTATTAAAAAATACATGGTTGAATTGAGGCCATGCTGCTGCATTTCTGATTGATTTCATGTACACTGATTTTAGAACCAAGACTATCTGAAAGGACAACTTAGTACAAACTAGCACCTTTTTACGTTACATAAACGAACAAAGTATCAAAAACTGATAGATTTTTAAAAATTACAGTAGAACACTCTATGCGAGTTTAAATTTTTTTTTTTATAATAATGGGAATGAAATGTCTATCTCTACCAACAGTCAAAACTTCAATTTCAAACGTTCGCTACCGCAATAGTAGGTACTGAATTTTTCATTTATATGGACCAGCGACGCACATATGCGCCGGCTGGATTCTTCTCATAGACAGCCGTCACATATATGCGACAGCTGGTCACATTAAAATAGACTGATGTCACATATTTGCGTCGATGTCCCAATGTTATTAAAAAGCTTATATCTTCAAAAACGGTCTATTTGAAAGCCCTGAATTCTCTGCAGTGGTCTACAGATATGTCTGTCACGTATGTGCGTCACTTAGTCTGTGGATATGATGATTAGTGTTGTCATATGATAGTTAGCAAAACTGTTTTTTACTTTGCTGCATCACTGGCCCGTGGTCTGCAGGTACTGTGATCCAAGGGACACTCGGTCTAGATGTGTAATATTAAAATGTATACCTCAGTCTGCCGGTTCGTGGCAGTGACCATAGCGTCGCATATATGTGGTGATCGGCAGCGACCCAAGTAGCAAAAATCGTTGGCAAATCGTTGGCCCAACGTTTCGGTCGATCGTTGGCCAACGGTATGTTTTGGCACTCAGTCTTACGGTTGGCCAACCAACCAATTTTTGCGGAAGGGCCAACCATCCCATTGGGCATAAACATAAAAAATACAAAATAATAAAGATTTTGTTTGCAAAGCATAATTATGAGTTGAGTAAATTGATTAAATAGTTCATAAAAACTTATTTTGAAAATAAAACGAAATAAAATTATTCGGCCAGGACGGGTCTCGAACCCGGTACTTTCGACATGTGAGCCTCACGCCTTACCTCTGAGCTAACTGTGCTTGTTGGTTAGTAGTGTTTTCAAGTGGTGAAAGAGTAGCCGACAGGTGCAATGGTCACAATTAATACTTAAAATATTTTTGATGCTACAGTATAATATGATTCTGTTAATCTGTTTAGGCCTCAAGTAGTTGAATTGTTTTTCTGGTAGTTGGAGAGGATACTAGTATTTGAATATAGATTATTTTAATTACCATTAGATTAGTAGGCTACACTATAATTGATTGTTATATACGGTAATTAATTAATCTTTTCTCTATAACTATTAAAAACTTGTTTAAATAAGTTAAAGAATATATAAAAAATTAATTATAATAATTATTATATGTTAAGCAGGTGTTCCCCACTGTGTCTATTATAGCATCATCTGACTACATTAATTATTGATCCAAATTTTTACAATATTTGTCTTTTATTCTGCTGCCGTAACATTTATGTACTTTTAAATAAATCAAATTGTTAAAATTTCATTTTAGAATGTTTTATACTTAAACCCAACGAATGCCCAACGAATGCCCAACGAAGGCCCAACGATTCTTTCCTTTGTAGGGCCAACGAATACCAGTTTCCGTTGGGCCAACGTTGGCAAATCGTTAAAATTTCTGCCAACCATTTCCCAACCATGCCGACCATTTCCCAACGTTGGGCCAACGATGTGTGCTACTTGGGGAACGTGTTAAAAAACTAATACAGTATAACTATAGCTATAATATAAAAAAAAATGTAATTACTAATATTTATTTACCTTTAGCATTCAGGACTCTCCAAGTCCCAGGCGGCTCAGTGAAATACCAGTGTCTGCGTTGTGACAAAATCTACCTACACCGGGGCAGCCTCAGCAAACATCTGAACTACGAGTGTGGCGACCGACGACCGTTTGTCTGCACGTTCTGTCCATACAGGTCCAAGCAGAAGGGCAACCTCAAACTTCACATCTATAACAAGCACCAGCATCAGATTGTTGAGTCCGAGAATATTTCTTGAACATTTCTGAAGACATTTAATGCATCGAAGTGCAATGTTATACAGATTTTATTGCGAATTGTTGAAATTAAAGTGATTTGTTACATTTCTGTGTAAAATCTTCAGTTAAACATTAATTTTACTCTATTAACATCTTAACAAAAATTGCACAACATGTTGTTAATATGCACTAAATAAAACAAATATTATGCTATACAAAACTTTAGTATTTTTTATAATATTATAGTTAATTCCGAAATTTATTATCTTCAAATTCAATACAGTATAAGTGTCATGACAGAATTGTGTTTTATTTAGTGTGTTATAAAGCTTATGATATAGTGTAATGATAAATGGTAACTAAACATTCATTCCTAGGGCTTTGTCCTGCATTTTTAACCCAATGAAAGGGTCCCCTCGTATTGTATAATTGGATTAAATTAAAACAACAAATTTTCAGTAAATAGTATGGGATTTTTTAAACATCTCAACAAGCTACTTTTATGAGCTTACTACATGTTTTAAGACATGGTACACTAAGTTCAATCCAACAATTTACCAAAATACTCCTTAAATTAGTTTGACATTGATCCTACTGAACTATATGTATTTTTGATTATCTGATGTTTTTTGTTCTCAGATCTTTCACTGCAAGATGACGATTCTAAGCAGTTTTCATGTCCAAAATGCAATAAAATCTACAAACACAGGTGTTCGCTAAGCAAACACATGAAGTACGAATGTGGCGATCGTCGACCATTCATCTGTGCTCTGTGTCCGTTTTCAACCAAGCAAAACGGCAACCTAAAAACACACATGCTGCTGAAACACAAGATAGGCCTACTTGATTAATATGTTAAACATAAATATAAATTTTTTAGGAGTATGTTTTCAGTACGGTAGTACTTTTTTCCTATGTGATTCATGTTAATGAATATATTTTAAAATTATTGTTTAGTTCCTTTAAAATAAATCATGTTACAGTTCACTGAAGTATTATTTCAATTAAAGCACATATTTTACTATATTTACTGCTGTGTGTTGTAATTGACAGAATTTGACTTTGTTTTCTTTAGTGTAACAGTCGTCATACTTTTCAAGGGACGGTAACTGAAGAAATCTTGAACTTTTTATTCAAGAGTGACTTTGCAATATTTATGAGTGTTGGAATTGGAAATGTCAATCTACTGATAATTTTGTCAGTCTCTATGAATTAGTTAATAAAATAAAATAAGTGTATTGTATATTTATTTTCAAATTGCTTTTTTAGAAATCCTATGAACAATTTGTGATTAGTATAACGACTATGTATAAAGAGTAAAGAGTAAAGAGGGGGAGCAAGCTGATCTAGAGGTAGTGCGCAGACCTTCAATCCCTGAGGTCCCGGGTTCAAATCCTGCCAAGCACCAATTATCTAAGTGATAATGTCGCAACCTCTGGGCCTGTCCTGATTATAATTTGGAAAATTCTGTTACGGAAATGTTACTTAATAATCGTAAATATTTTGCTTACAGATGTAAAATTCAACACCAATGAAGGAGAGAAGTATCAATGTCAGGTTTGCCTGAAGGTTTATAGGTATAAGAGAAATCTGACTAAACACTCGAGATATGAGTGCATGGGACAGAAACCTTTTGGTTGTACAATCTGCCCTTATCGCTCCAGTCAAAAATCTAACGTCAGAATTCATATGTTCAAAATACACAACCAAGTCATAAGCTAGAACTCTGTTCAAGATTATTTTGTTTTACAATTTCATTTTCACCCGATATCTTTTTTATTGATCCTTTTGCCAAGATTCTAGAAGTGGTAAAATGATTACCTAAGTGTTGAGGAATGAGTTACTCAATAAATCACGCATATAAGGTTATCAATTATTTTTAACGTTAAATGTTTTTGGATTTTGTACTTGTCAGATTAAGGATAATAATTTGTTACTGATTATAAACATACTTGAAAATCTCTTTGAATAAAGTTTATCACAGCTCTTAGTTCTGTTGTTTACAATTTTACTTAATACTAATGTTTGCCGATTTGTTGATTACAACATAAAACAATCAAATTAACAATACGTTTTTTATTTCATAATGTACAATCATTTAAAGTAGTTTCAGATGAATTTGTTATGTTAATAAAATTGACATTGTGTAAAATGTGGTTGTTCTTCTTATTCCTACTGTAGTGAACAATGCACTTTTGGGAAACTTAAACTATGTAGCTCTTGTGTAATTTATTGATAAGGAATGCATTTGATCTGGTAACTTAATAATTACTCACTTATATCATAAATCTTCAATTTGGAAAACCATAATATTAAGACATTACAAACTATTTTGATTAGAGTTAACAAAATGTAAAAACTGGAAAATTGAATTACTGTGTTTGAATACTTTTCATGGTTCCTCCTTTAAAAATATCTTAAGCTTTAATATGCTAGGATAACTTGATGTGTTTATTTGAGACTTTTTATATACTTTGTCTTATCAGTGCAGCAACTATTGCTAAATTTGTATCAATCTTTGCAGATTTCAGGATCTCCAAGGACTCCGAGGGTGATATTTTCCAATGCTTGATCTGCAACAAAACCTACAGACACAAGAGAAACTTGATCAAACATGTTCGTTATGAGTGCGGAGATCAGCGTCCGTTTGCTTGTTCGTTCTGTCCGTTCAGCTCCAAGCAGAAGGCTGGTCTTAAGCTTCACGTATTCAACAGACATCAAAATGTGGCCAGTACTTAAAACAATAAATATTTTCTCCCTGATTTTTGGCTCCTACAATTTTTTTTTTATTACCAAAGAAGTATCAACTTTTTTTCATTGGTTAAAATTCTGCGTTCTATTCTATGTGTCTATCTTTTTATCAGAGCCTTTCAATAAAATTGCAAAATTATCAGTAAAACTAGTTTATTTATATTTATATTTTTTATTATCTCCATTTCATAGCTGTGTTTTCCTTTTGTTTGATTTGACTTATTTTAATTGGAAAAAAAGTTAATTTGTTGAATACTTAATTTTAATAAGTACAGGGCTATTTTCTGTGTATGTGGCATTTGTAAATAAATAATGTTGTGTTAAGTTGTGGTGTTTATTTTTCAAGTAGTTTTTGACCAATCATTTCTGTAACCTAACAATCTTTAATGTTATTGTTTAAAAAAAGTCAAATTACTTGTACGTAAGCTAATAAAACTACAATCTAGATCTTATTGTGAAAAAAAAATCTACTTTCTCTCATCATAGTACACTTCATAATATTAAAACTTTTTTGTTTTAGCATGGAATCAGGTCAAATCTTAAAAGTTTAATGGTGATTTATTTATATAGATGAATAACTCAATTGATTAAGTGAACTATTCTTCTCCAAAAAGGTATTTGCCTAATACAAGAACAAAGCAGAACATCTCAATTATGCTTTAAACATTCAGTGTAACAAGAGCGTTCCAGTCAATTTCTTGATCATTGCCTCAACAATATGTAACATATTTGGCAATCATGTTGATCCAGTATGTCCTTATCAAACAACTGTAGTAAAATCTTCAATCTTGATTTGAAAATACATCTGCCCAACTTATTTTACTTTATACCAATTTTTTTTATAGCTCCAACCTAAATTATTTTAGAATTCATTGCCCCACTTCTGGATATTGATTTAAATTAATAGAAATGTTTTGTCACCTTTACAAAATCCTTGTTTGTAGTTAATGAACTACATGTTTTGTGGCAACTGCCACATCCTCATGTTCATGAACCTGAGAAATATTTTGAACAAAATACTTCTATTAAATTGTTTTATAATCATCATCTTTTTGCATCTTATACTCATTTATTGAGTATATACCAATAATTCACTGCTATTATAATAATCTATTGTAAAAAAATTAACCGAACAAGTTCAATTTTAGGCTTTGTTCCTGTCAACGGAGGTGATTTCGACCGATATCAATGTTTGTCCTGTAAGAAGATTTACAAAGGCAAGGGAAACGTGAACAAACATGTCCGTTATGAGTGTGGAAACCAACGACCGTTTAGCTGTACAATGTGTTCGTACAGTTGCAAACAGAAAAATAACCTCAAGAGGCACATGTTTCTCAAGCATTCCCAAATAGCTGTCAAACCAAATGTAGGAGACTGGATGCAATGAAGTTTTACCACTTTTATAGCTCAAAATGTTAATTGTTTTAACACTTGTAATATTCTGCATTGTTTGTGATTCCAATTTGCAGAAATTATTGTTACTCTTTCTTACAACTGTAACATAAGGTACACTCATAATTCAAATTCTACTTTTTCCTCAGTATTTAGTTAGATGTTTTCTAAATTGTAATGACCTAGTCAGTATTATCCTTAACTTTGAATTATAAATAGACCTACTCAACTATATGATCCAGATATTGCTATTTTTTGGCACAAAAATAACATAGTCCAATTAACCACTCATGTTCTATTTACGTTTCTATCTACTATGAACTTAAATATACACTAGTCGTGTGTAAGTACAAAAATGGGTCTTAATTAAATTGAGTGTTGTTTTTATCCCCAAAACCAATAAAAGGTAAACGAGGGAACATCTAATTTTAAGTCTAAGGTCTAAAGTCAAAGGCAAATAAAGCCAAAGGCATATAAATCTCCAGCTGATTAAAAATTCCTCCCAAATTTCTTTAATTATTTTAATTTTATTAGTTGAAGCGTACCGTATGGTTGAGATCTCTTCAAACCAAAAGATTTTGCCTTATGTAGCAGTAAGTTGTGTAAATATGTCGGTTTGTTAAAAATTATTTTAACTGAAAACCAATCAAGATTTCAATTTACTCTGTAAATATTTTGTTTCATTGTTTGGTGTGTATAGATTTTGATATCAAGCACTATATTTTGTTAACTTGGAGTGCGTTGCAAAATAAAAATGTTATCCATACACTGTACATGTTATTTATTTATACCTACACTTTTATTTTTATTAATTTAATTACCTACCTTAAAATAGTTGTTATTTGTATTTTGTAACAGGGGTGTATATCATTTTAGCTGTTTTAGCAGACAGGTATTATACTAAAAATCAAAGGCAACTAAAGTATTTTAAAACACATTTTAAGGTAAGACTTTTGCTGAAACAGCACTTTAGTTTAATCTCATGGTACTTAAACCTTCATCATTGTTGAACAAGTAGAAGATCCTGTACAAAGTGTAATCTAGATATTATGCTTTTTCTAAACTAAGCGAAAGGTACAAGTAGTTGTTTTAACCACATTAAAATTTAAAATATACAAGATGTAGTGGTATATTTCAATTGTTTGGAATCTAATGTTGTCATAAAGCCGACTAACTCAATGATTCAAATTACGGCTACTTATTTCTTATTATATATTCTTGAGTTAATTTAATTCACCTAATAATGTACATAGGGAAATAGTTTTACATTTGAGTCCACATGTCAGTCCCACAGACTAAAATCAGTTTTCTTCATTGAAAAATTTAAATGTAATAAAAAGCGTTTTTTTCAGGTTATCTAACGGAGGGCCAAGAGCATGGGCAGTTTCAATGCAAACGTTGTCTGAAGCTTTACAAACACAAAGGTAACCTTCATAAACACGAGAAATACGAATGTGGAGACCAACGACCCTTCACTTGTCCCCGATGTTCTTACAAAGCTAAACAGAAGTGTCACCTCAAGCTACATATGATCAACAAACACCAGGAAACTATAAATATCTAAACCGAGAGACTGATGGGTCAGAAGAATCCTGTGGGATTTTCAGAAGAAGACACTTGTTAAACTAACGAGAAATGAATTCCAAACTTTGATGGACACTTTGCAAAAGGTTTATGTTACCTGTGTCGCTGTTAACGGAACAATCCGCTGTAGTGTTTATCAACTACAGTTGTTTCGTGCTGCGTAAAATAGAGCACATCTTCAATTTGGAATGTCTAGTAATATTCATAATTCTGAAAATGTGCTCCATTTTCCCCAGCACAAAATAGCTTTAGTTTATTTTCACTAATGTATTTTATGACAGGAAACATAATAACCCCTTTAATTAATATTGTATGCTTCTGTTCTAAATAAATTTATAAAGTAGGAGTTTATATAACAAATATTTCATGGATTAGTTGCACAAGCACATTCAATATTTTGGAATAAAAACGCTTGTACAGTTTTGAACTTTTTATACTCTATAGCCTATATTGTTTTGAAAATACACATTTTGATGTAAAATAAACATTTATGTTTTTATAACTAGATCAAATAAAATTGTCACTTTACTTAATGAATGTGTGTTTTTTTTGTGTTTTTAGCGAATTTCCCATGTAGGAAATAGTCTATTACCTTACCGTAGTATTCATGGTAAGACCTGGACCCGGGACCGATTTACTTTTTCGTTTTGAGGTCCCTAGAGGCCAAAAACACCATCCGTTCAAATTCATGTATATGTGTCCGTTAGCACGATAACTCGAGCAAAAATGATCCGATTTTGATAAAATTTGGTATAAACGTGTAAGCCTACATTTATACGAACGAGTTCGCGAACCAGCATGGGAACGGGGGTTTATGGTGGGTTTTATCGGGTAAAAATAGGTTTTTCCTATTTTTGACCCTAAAAAGACAAAATTTTACAATTTCTTTCCAAACACATTTTATTCGTTTCCTTGTAGCATCAAAGCTAGGTACTGAAAAAATTACAAATGGTTGAAAAATTGCCATATAACATAGCATACTACACGAACATAGTGGAAGGGGGCCCGAGCTCGATTCTGGTTACAGGGCCCACAATTTAATGTGGGGGCCATGCAGGTAATACCTCTCACCGTTTTCAGTGAGGTCAGGGTTCAATGGTAACTAAAGGTTTTTTTACACAATCCAAATTACAAGTACATAAGATGCATTTTAACAGCAAAACAAGCTCATATGTTGGTATTCCTATTTTCTTTACTTCATTACCAATCAGCTTTTATCCATTATTGCATAGTTATCTGTGAGTTTGAAAATGTATTGTGAATAAGACCCAACATAGCATTTTTACACGCTATAATAGAGTAATCAAGTATGTCTAGAGTTATTTTTTATTTTTAAAGATTTTAAAATTAAGATAAGTTAGTAAGATTGAAAGATTCAGTTCCCGAAAATTCCTTACTATAAATACCGTAGATGTCTTTTTAGGTAGTTGAATTCCATCACGAAATCTAATTTTTAACCTTTCTTGGCATAAAACCAATTATTTACTTTTAATGTACAATACAAAATACTCTTTGATCTTGTGAAAACACCATGTTTAGTCTTCTTTACAATAAATTCCAAGTAGGTAACACTAAGACTTATACAACACCAGAATAATTGAAGGTCTACATAACATACACAAAATTACTATAACACATTCAGAACCATATACTATGATTTATTTTAATTTTTTATTTTATTTTATTTCTCTGATTTTAAATTATCCGTAATATTTTATGTTATAACTAAAACATTTTGTTCAGTTCGTGTTAACTCATTTTATTTTATTTTTTCCAGGTAATTTATTCCCGCATCTAACTACTTCCGAGAATCATTTCCAATGTTTACAATGCAAGAAGACTTTCAAATATAAGTACAACCTTACAAAACATGAGAAATATGAGTGTGGCAATTTAAGGTCATTCGCCTGCCATCTTTGTTCTTTTAAAACAAAGCAAAAATTCAGCCTTAAAAGACATTTAAGCTATATACATCAAATATGTCCTTAATTTATACGTTTGAGT